CCCCCTCCCCACCCAATCTCTCCCCTCAGCAACTCCCCCATGCTCTCTGTAGGCAGGCCCAGCCACCTCAGCACCGGCAGCGCCATGTCAGCGCCACTGCAGCGCCAGCTGGCGCCCACCAAGGCCTCTGCCACGTCAGCGAGCACCTTGTTGCCCAGCTGGAACGCTGACCTGGCGGCGGCTGCTGCACGCGCCGCTGCCAGCGAGGCGAAGGCAGGGTCTAGAAGGGCTTTAGGGCTCGGCGGAAGGTTCTGGGAAGCTACGGTAGCCCAAGAAGGGGATGAAGGAGGAGATGCTGCTGCTTGTGACTCCCTCGCGTGAGAGACGGAGTCTGAAAGCGAGTGTGGTGGGCGGAGTGAGTGAGAGAGGGAGTCAGCCAAAAGTAGAAGAGAGTGGGAGGGGGGGACGAGAGGGCCGAACCAGTCACGCGTTCTGAAAGGCTTGCAGCGAACCAAGGGAGGAACACCGGCTTTAAGTGCCAGCGCTGCGAGGTGCTTGTTGGACACCAGCTTCACACACTGCCCCTTCATGTCATCGTATGTCGGCAGGGAGGGGTGGCTGTGCGGCACATGTGATGGCATCGATGCATTCCCACCCTGCGCTGCCAGGTGCTTGTTTGAGACCAGCTTCACGCACTGCCCCTTCATGTCATCGTATGTCGGCAGGGAGGGGTGGCTGTGCGGCACATGTGATGGCATTGATGCATTCCCACCCTGCGCTGCCAGGTGCTTGTTTGAGACCAGCTTCACGCACTGCCCCTTCATGTCATCGTATGTCGGCAGGGAGGGGTGGCTGTGCGGCACATGTGATGCCCTCCCATGCTCATGCCATCATTCCCTCCCCCATGCTCCCCTGCGTCCACCCCTTCGCCTTTCCTGCCTGCATTCGCCTCTATACCTTCCTCCTCTCCCCCATGCTTCCCTGTATCCACCCCTTCCCCTTCCTGCCCTCTCCCCTCAGCCTCATGACAGTATGCAGCAGTCCCTCCTCCTCTCTCTTCCCCTCCTCCTCTTTCTTCTCCTCCTCCTCCCCCCACCAAGCAGGGCAGCACGAGGCAGTAGTGGGATGCGGTCCAGAAGGCTCCAAAGGGGCGCACATCGGTGCTGATGTGTATGGGTGCCTCACCCGCAGCAGTATAGGCCGCAGTTGTGCCAACAGCTGGTGCTGCCACAGCAGATTCAGCTGCAGCAGCAGCGTGGGCGAGGGTGGGAGCATGGTGCACGAGGTCCCATCGGTCCAATGCCATGCCGAACAGACGCATGTGGTAGCACATGGCGCTGGTTAGCTGAGGGGCAGGGGGGAGAAGGGGGATAAGGGGAGACGGGGGAGGCGGAGAAGGTGGAAAAGGCGGAGAAGGGGGAGAAGGGGGAGAATGAGGGGTGCATGTGGGTGCAGCGCTGATGCGTTCTGCGACCTGCATGAGCTGAACCTGAACCTGAACCTGAACCTGAATCACCTGAACCACCTGAACGGCCTGAACGGTCTGAGCGCGACTGACCTGCTGAGGCGAGAAAGTGAGGGCTCCGAGAGGGGAGAGGCGGACGATGCAGGTGAGACGGGGGAGAGGCGGACCGATCCCGAAGCAACTGAAGGGGGCTGCGATGCTGGGTTGTGCGGAACCGCAGGTGAGACGCCGGCAGAGGGAAGACCAGCAGTAAGAACAGCAGTAGCAGTAACAGTCACGCCAGTCACGCCGGCAGTCACGCCAGTCACGCCAGCAGGAGCAGTCACCCCAGCAGCAGATCCTGAGGCTGTAGCAGCTAACCCCACATCTGTAGCCGTAGTCCTTGCATCTGTAGCAGCAGCGCACGCTCCAAGATACTTGGAGCAAAGAGGTACTTCCATGTGTGCCACGTCAGCATCCAACGAACCAATGGCAGGCGACGTCAGTAGCATGAACCCGGAAAAACACTCTGTGCTGCACGCATCCCCGTTATACGGATCCCCCTTACTGGAGGTCGAGGATGAGGAGAAGAAACGGAGAGAATAGGCATGGAAGGGACCGATACTGGGACATGCTGGGGTGGTAGGTGTGGCTGCTGCAAATGGCGCTGCTGTTTGTGGTGAATCATTTGCTGACAGTGCTTCTGCTGCTGTTGCTGCTGCTGCTGGAATGGGTACTGCTGGTGAGATGGCAGCAGGCGTTGCAGCGTCAGCCATTTGGAGTCAAACTTCTTAGAAACGGCACCGTGAATCTTGCTCAATGGTAATGCGGTGTAGCAACCTAGATAACTCTATGAAGAAACAGCTCATTACCGAATCAACTCATTACTGAATCAACTCATTACTGAATCCGGTCATTACTGAATCAGCTCATTATTGAATCAGTTCATTACTGAATCAGCTCAAAACTGAATCAGCTCATTAATGAGTCGGCTCATTACTGAATCAACTCATTACTGAATCAACTCATTACTGATTCAGCTCATTACCGAATCAGCTCATTACTGAACCGCAATCAGCGTGGAAGCCAAATTCATGCTTGGTCTAATCAAATGCGCGGCTCTTGAAATCCCACTCGGCTCCTTGTCGCTTTCTGTAGGTTAGCGTGGGCTTACAGGCATGTGGCTTCACTTAATTGCCTAACGGATCGCGCGGACTCTTATCCGATGCGGAGTTTCCCCTTATCGAGAGGCAGACGCAATGGCGGATGGCGACGGCGGATTCGTGTTTCGCGGCAAAATATTGCTTCCCTAATAGTTGAAAGGGGGTGGAGGAGAAATGCGATTTGTTGGTGACGGAGATTTTCGAGGTTTCTGGCATGGGGGGGGAATTTGTGGATAATACATACGAACAGTGAAAAAATGACATCATCCGCGCATGATTACCCACGCGAGGGGCGGGAGAAGTGACGTCAGACGGCCATCCGCGCCACCGGCTCCGAAGTCCCTCCTGGTCCGAAGTCGACCCTTGGGAGCTCCGAAGTTCCTTCGGGCCGACAACCCGCCGGATTTCATCCGTGTTTCGGGGGTTCGCACGGGGAGCTTCGTCTCCGCGTCTTCGCACCACGTGTCGTTCGTACATCGTGGTACTAAAATGACGCGGCACGACCTCATAGGCTCACGCGAATATGTGTCACGAAAAATGCTATCGCCGGGAATCGCGCAACAGGACACGCGTCCGTTGGACAACGCTGAGAGACACTCGCACACATCTCGCCGAACTCCACATGGGTGAGTAAGATTGGTGCGCGATAATTGTGAGCCACGAAGATGCAGCAAACACATACGTGCGTCAAACGTCACTTTGGCCGCGCCTGACTTCACAAGGGCACGAAATGAAAGCGCGGGAACGACACTTCGGCCATGCACCGCACGACCGAACCCACGAGAATGCCGGGTGGCGCGAAAGAATCAATGCTCACTCGGAACATTTCGCAACCGTGCTCCGCACGCAACCGTGCTCCGCCCGTATTTACTTTAGGAACTCAGTAATTTGAACTCATTTTGCTTGGACGAGGGGTGAATTGAATACCTCTATTTCCCTTAGCCGCTCCAAACATACTTGCCTTTTAGGATCCTCGGTTAGGACTCAGTCGGTTTCGGGTCGTGCTATGGTTTAGGAACCTCTAGCAAACTCGCTAGGATTCGCGGTAGTCTACTTCGAGATATGACGCGAAACCTCTGCACCGGTAAGCTAGGATGACGCGACCACGCCAGGGACATTCGCGCCGTCCAGCTTATCTAGGCTCAATCGAACCCCCAACAACGTATCGCAATCCATCTGCATACGCCCCTGCACCCACGGATCCGCGAAACTTACCGCGTTCTAGTGCCGAGGAACAGGTTGCCACATCCGCTTTGAACCACAACCGCGTAGCTATCGGCACAGGGTATGCTTGGGGAATGACCGAGCACCAAGCCCCTTCCCCATCCCAGCCCGCTCCAGCTCGTATACCATTCACGCCCGTTTTATCGTGGGGTGCGAACGGTTCGCGTCTGAATCATGACTCGCCAAATCCCGAAAGCGCCAACCTCGAAGCAAACAACCCGCGAAATGTACAACACGGGCATGCGGCTGGACCTTCGGGGGTACAACACGCATCCGCAAACGGAACTTTCGTGGGTCAGAACGTGTCTGGTATGCCGCCATCACAGCATTTTTCGTTCGAAAGGTACCAGGATGTAGGTTTTCGCTCCACGATTTTCACCCGCACCACTGTTCCCTCACCTTCCCAAGCTTTTCGAGGCCGCCTCGTTCAGCCCACCACCGCAAACGTAATGCCGCCACAGCCCACGGAAACACCTGTGCATATCTCGCCTAACCCGCAAGCTACGTTTGCGAGTCAGCCATTGCACGCAGCTGGCCGTGGTGGAATCGCGGAACAGCAAGTTGTCCCTGAGCCGGAAGAAACCACTCCGATAGACCCGAGCCAAATTATCAGGATCGATCCCGAAGAAGTACCGCTCGCACCACCGGAGAGTTTCGTCCAGCCCGAACCGGGACCGGGAGGAACAACCGTTCGTCACCAATCCAACGTTATCACACCCCACAGCATTCCCGAAACACGAGAGGACGCGGCTGAGGTGGAGGCCATGTTCAACCGGGTGGAGACAGGGGCTGATGAAGCAGTGGAAGGCCCGCCAATTTCGGCTTGGGAGAGGATGCGAGCTGCTAACAACCTCGCCTCGAAAATGTTTTTCGTCGTTCAAATCTGGATGCTGTTGGCGGAATCAACGAGGCTAAAATACAGGGCTGCTATCAAGGAGTTCAAAAGGTGGTTCGCCTGGGAAGCGCCGCGAATGCCACCGGGAAACTACCCTCCAGACGCGAAATTAGAGCACGTGGATGAGGTGGGGTTTGAGCTCGGGATGGATATGGGTGCGGCCTGGGAGACCGCGCCGGATGACGATTGTCTTTTCCATGGTCCCAAAATAACACGGTGGCGACTGAAGATGTTCATAACGTACTGCTCTCAGGAGACCGAAGATTAGGCGCGAATGTTAGCAGAAAAAAATGACACCACGCCGATCAGAGAGCGAGTAGCTTGCAGCGTCACCATGGTCCAGGCACGATTTAGCGCGCTGAAAACCCAGTGCAGGGCGGAAATGGTGCTGTTTGACGCGGAAGACCTGACCACAAAGATCGACGAGGTTCGCGTTGTCGTGGCGCTCATGATGCGACAGCAGTACGCTCGCTTCAGAGAGTGAGTCGCGCTTTTTCGTTCCGCCCTGAAGTGTGCTGGTTCTGGAGTTTTATGACGCGATACTCACAGTTCCCCACTACATGCGCAGGATGTACCAAGATCGTCACAAGGGTACGACCGGCGACACCTACGACATGACGCAGTTCAATACCCTGATGACTTACAGCTGGCCATCAGACGCGATTAGCCGCTTCAACCCGAACGTCACAGTACCTTCACAGCTGCTGCACCGTTCGCTTTTCGCGAAGACGATGAAGCTCATCAGCCATCACACTCTGGCTCGCGCAGGAACTGTCCGCGAAATACAGCTGGCTGACCTAATCTTCCACAAGTTTGGTCGTCTAGATGTGTCCGACCCGATCGGTGACGCGGATCTCTTGACGATCGTGACGCGGACGGGGAAAACGAATCCCAACTTTGGAATCCACAAATACGTGGCAGCGCAACATAGCGACTACCAGGTCTGCAGTGTCGGCCACCTCGTTTGCCTCCTCCACTGGGTCTACGACAGCGTTCCAAGCTTTTACGGGGAGCACTACGTCACTCCATTGAATTTCGCGGACCCGACAGAGTGGTACGATGTGTACGTTTTCTTCTCGTATAACGGCGGAAACAAGGTGCCCGTGCCACACACAACATACAACGACTGGGTCCTACACGGATACGACATGGCCGACATCCAGATTTCGCGCGTCACTCATGGACCTCGCGCGTCCAACACGCAACTACTTTCGATGGCGGGTGTGGCTGACGACCAAATCGGGAGGCACGGAAATTGGAGAACAGATGCTCTCACGACGCATTACCTCTCCGGTGTTGCGCGCGAAGCTGTCTTGGTGACATCTGGTCACACGGGTCTGCCTGGGGACTATCACCTCGGTCGTTCAAAAGTAGAGCCACCGCCCAGGGCGCAAGAGGCGATCAACCGCCACGTCTTCCCGTTTGCAGAAAAGCAGCTGGAACTGGTGAGTTCGCGTTGAACCGCGAAATTTGACCTCAGAAATACCCACTCTCTAACATATGAAATGCTTTCGTGCAGGCACAGCTCTACAACTCCACGAAGCCGAGGCACGCGCGTGACATGGCATCGATACATCTCCTTAAGGCGTTTGCCGGCACTTGCAGGAGAACGCTCGCGGAAGACATGGCGATGTTATGCATCCAGCATCCAAATCATCCGGAAGTCCGTGCGTCTCCCTTGTGCAAGGACTGCGATTTCATTGACTGGGCGCGGGGGGTTGTGTGGAGCGACGACGTCGGAAGAGCCATGCGGAACTCCCCGACGCCCACACGCGGAGCGGTACGTTCACCATGCTTGCATAAATTCTGTACCTTTCGCAACAACCATTACTTCAACCGTCTTCGTGCCTCGTTTTTTTCAGGAAGTGGCCCGACGCTGCCACGCCGAACACCGCAACGTCGTCCTCACCACGATGCTGAACAAAGAAAGGGACGCGAGCAGGCAAAAGTCGGTGGAAAACGAAACCCTCAAGCACAGGAATGGCCAGCTCGAGCAACAGGTGGAGGAATTGACGCGGAGGCTGGCTGCTGCCTCAACATGATCGCCAGCCACACAGGTGGAGACGACCCCGGACTCGCCCCCTCCTCCTCCCACCCTCTCCGACATGGACAAGGCTTTCAAGAAAAACATGATCGCGCCATGGCTGAAGGCGAGCACTGCTCGCGAGGCTTGCGAAAAATGGAACGCGCACCACGATCTCACAGGCCTGACTGTTCGTGGAGAAATGGCCGCGGGCGGGTTCGCGAAAAAATACATGCTCGCGGGGCCGGAAGACTCGGCAATGCAACGGCAAAAGCGCCTCATGGTCGCCGTCGCCGATTATGCGGCACGATACGCCGGCGGGGAGGCAGCAGTGGTGGCTAAATTTGATGAGATCGCGGGGCCCATGGGCTTCACCACCTTCCGCGACGGGCTGACTGTTCGCGGCACAAAACCCAACAATGACACCTACGACAAACTCAAGGCGCTGAAAGGAGCCGTGGGCGAGAAAGTGAAGGTGGCGCTCGCGCTCGTGGCTGAAGGTTTCGAGAACGTGGAGTGGGGGCGAAAGCAGTTCCCGAAAAGCTGGGACGCCTTGTTCGGTTCCAAGAAACGACCGCGTGTTGAATAGTTTCGCGCTGCTGAGCTATCGCGCTATACATTGTGTTTGTGTTTGTGTTTCTACCGTTACATTCGGGCTTGTGTGCATGCTAGATTTCGCAGGCCCCTTAATTGCAACATGCCCGTAAATTCATAGATCCGGATCCCAACCCTTGAGTAGTTTTGCCATTTCAAGTTAGTTTGTTCGCGATGCAAACCCGTACCATGTACAGACAAATCTAACCACAGAAACTAACCAGCAGACATGTTTCACTACAAAGTTTCGGAAACCAAGCGTGCCATGGACGCGAAAACTGCGTGCAGCCACAGAGGCGAAACAACCACAGTCAGAGCACATACGAAGCCACAACTCGCAAACAGAAGTTACTGCCCGTCATCGGAAATCACTTCAACGTTCTCCATCCCAGGTTTCGGGGAAGGCTTCTTCGCACGCGAACGCGAACTGGGCTGGTTCCTTACTTTGGCGCGATCATCGCTAGACTCCAAAAACATGCCGACACTCTTCAACTTCGCTGCTGCATCGGGATCGTAACACCAGGTGCTCAGTACATCGACCATCTCGTGAACGAGCGGTCGCAAACTCTTGTTGTTCGCACCCCCAAAAGCGGCCACCACCTGCTTCTCCACATCGTCCGCATCGTGGCTAGTCTTCAGAGCCACGATCAGGTTCAGCCACGCGGCCACGATCAGCTCGACGTTCAGGTCCGGTGCTCCAGCCTTCTCTGCAGAGCGTTTCGCTTCCGTGTCAGCGAAGCCGCGATCACGGCCCTTGGAGACAAGCCACAAGTACGTGACCGTAAACGCCACGGCACCGGCAAGAGCACCCTCTGGAACCTTCGATTTCGCGTAAGGCTCGTCCGCTTCCACTTCGAGGCCTAGCGCAACCGAGGCCGCGACCTCGTCAAGCAGGTCGTCTGGTCCATCAGCTATTTTCCTGAAACGCGCAAACATGGTTCTCATCCTGCATTGGGCACAAGCAGCGAACGGAAAATAAGCCACGAACACAATTGCGCAACTCACTCCGCGAAAAATAGATCGACACTCAAAAGCATTGTTTCAAAATCAGATTGCGCAAGCGAATGCTAGAAACTCGATAACGCAAAACTGCAAAGCAAAGTATAAAACAGCGCCACATACCTTTTGCCCCCGGTACAAATGCCGCGAAGAAACATTACCGCGAACACCCTCGGATGCAAAAGTCGTGCAACATCCAGATCCGCGGCCCACTTCTCCTCTTCCGCCTCCGATAAAACCATCTTGTCGCTCGGAACCCTCTTGTGCCACACGGTCTGTACAACCGCGGCCGTATATCGCGCGTTTGCTAAAGCGGAGAAACTGCCGAAGTACCAGCGCAAGTTCTGGTGGTGCAATTCCAGCGTCCACGCAGTTCCTTTTGCGTTAACCCGAATTCCAACTCCGAGCTCGTTTTCCTTCGCGGGTCCCTTTTCCTTCGCGTGTCCCTTTTCCTTCGCGGGTACCTTTGCAGTCCCCTTACCACCCTTTAGTTTTGCCATGAACGCCAGGGTGGCCTTCGTGGCCTCGGTCTCGTCAGGATCTGTGCCGCCCGCTCCCACAAGAAGCGGCAAGACCAGTGTCCCGCCTGTGCCTGCACCAGCAGAATGACCTCCTGCGCTGCCAGCCGCGAACTGTGACGGCCCGTGCGGAACTTCGCCACCCGCATTTCCGGTCGCGGGTTGACGGATGATGTTCACCGGGTCGGAGTTCGATTTTGCCTTTTTCGGGAGGGGTGTGGCTGCCAGAGGAGCAGGAAGGACCGCGCTGCGTTTCCCGCTTTTTTCTTCTACTGCTGCTTCGCCGGATTCCATACCCGGGCGCCGCCCTTGGCCCGGATCCCGCACACCATATCCAGCCCTTTCGCCCGCGATTGCCAATCCCGTATCTCCAGCCCGAACGTTTGTAAGAAAATCCATCCCCGCTGCTCCCGCCGAAAAAGGGCCGCGTTGCGAAACCTGCGATATCAGGGCAGAAGCCGCTTCCGCCAGCTTCGCTATGGCACGCTCCGACGACTCGCGCTGCGCTGTCGCCGATGCACGTTCCGTCCGAACCTCGTGGACAGCATCCGCTAGATCCTTGCCAGCACGTCTCTCCATGTCCTCCAACCTCCTAAGAGCACTGGCAGACCTGTCAGTCACACGAGACAACGCGGCGCGATGCTCCCCCATCCTCGTCAGAAGTTCGCGGATTTTCTTGCGCTGCACGAAGTTGTCGTGTCGCGCATCAGCTAGGTCCTGCCTCGAATTCTCGAGCGCGAAGTCCAGACGAACTACTTCGTGAGCGAGTGTAAGTGCAGGCCACGATGACAACTCGTCCACGGTCCGCCTTTGCGCGATCGCACGCTCTGACCGGCGCACAAGCCGTGTCTGCCCCTCGAATCCGCGCCTCCCAGCGGCGCGAAACTGCGGAGCCTGACGAGCATCGTGAACCAATGCCCCAATTTTCGTGCTGCCTCCCGCAATCCTGTGGCGTTCACCACGATCAGCTCCATCGGCCTCCACTCCGTCCTCGCCTTCGCCCTCCCCCTCGCGCTCACCGTCCCTACCGCCCTCACCCTCCCCATACCCACCACCGTGGCCCTCCCCGTACCCACCCCCCTCGCCCTCCCACTCCTCTTCGTCATCCTCCTCGTATTCGCCCTCGTTTTCGCCCTCCTCCCCATACCAACCCTCGCCCTCGCCTTCGCCCTCGCCTTCGCCCTCGTCCTCGCTTTCCTCCTCGCCCTCGCCCTTGGCCGCGCCATAATTCTTGCCCTCCTCCTCACCCTCGGCCTCGCCTATGCCCTCGACCTTGTTCGCGCCCTCGCCCTTTTTCGCGCCCTCGCACACATTCGCGCCATCGCCCTCCTTCGCGCCCTTGCCCTCTTTCGCGCCCTCACCCTCGCCTTTGCTCGCGTCCGCGACGGCACCCTGAACTCCCGCTCGCTTCTGTGCAACCTCCGCTGCACCACCGTGGCTGCGGGTTCCGACTGCTTCGTTGTACCGCGTGTCAATGGCGATGTCTTGGGCATGCCTCAAATCTTATCGTGCAAAGGCTTTAAAGCCTTTACGGACGCTGTACGGACAGCTTCGCCTGGAGATTTCACAATAGCCTCGAATTCCGAGCAAAAAGCGCGAAAATCCGTATACAGCTTGTAATCCTTCACCCTGTCCAATGCGCTCAGGTCCTGCACGCGACCGTCGTATACACGGGCAAGAATTAGAATGCACACCTAGTCATTCGTGTTCGGAACATATGATGCGCGAAATTACCATGGTCTCGCGCTTCAGCTTTTGCACGCGCTCACGCGCAAATACAAGGCTGGGCTCGTCGTCGGTGTCTTCGAATTTCTCAACGCGTCTCTTGAACCAACTACGTGCCAGAACCACAATTCCAGAGTTAGCACGCGAAAATAAGCCTGACTTTAGAGGTGCCACGAAACCGCGACACTTACTCGATTACTTTCGTGGCCTGCTCTCGTTGCGAGTCTGTGCCGTAACACGGGTCGATGTGGATAATACGCGTGTTGGACGGCTCGTCCCTCTCGTATTGCAGCTGATTAGGCTGCAGGATAACGAGGACGCTGCAAACTGTCGTTCCGTTTTCGGGCCTGCACAACGCTCGCATATTTGGAGTCAGGAGGGGGCACGAACATCTATTTCACACAACTAGAGAGGCCAATACTTACTTCGCCCACATCGGGAAAACCACGAGATCCTTGTTCAACATGTCCGCGATCTCCGCGTTCGGGTCCATGGTCTGTTTCGTGCAGTCCGAAAGCCACAAACTGCCCTGCTCCGACGATGTGACAATTCGTGTCGTCTCTTTGCGGTCGCCGCCGTGTTTCGCCAACACGAAGCTGCAGGATGCACACCCATGAACAACCATTAGCAACGCGAACAGTCTATACGCCTCGAATATCAGCGTGATTGATCATCGAGGTGGAAACATTAGGTCACCCGCAAACACGTACAGGCATGCGAAATCCAGTGCGGCGGGGGTGTACTCGATGCTCTCATTCAGAATAGCCTCCTTGTCTTTTTCCATCAGCACGACGGACGCACCGCCCGCTTCCATGGCGACGTCCACTTTGTTGAAGCTCTCGATGCGGTCGTAAAGCTCGCGCCTCTCACGTAACATCCTACGTCAAACGCGAAACAACAAACGCGGAAACGCCACAGTTGCGATTGCCAAGATAGCATCACGAAAAAGTTGCTTTTCCATGTGACGCTCTGACGCGCCCTCAACATAAACCGCGAAAACTCTCGTAAAACGCAACAACTCAAATTCGCCGGACACAAACCTACGTCGACGCGCGATCTTAAACGATACAAAGTAGACGCGGAAAATATCGCGCTGTTTCTGTGTGTGTCGGTTTCGCGATATCTAAGGCACTCTAAACACACCAACAAGAACAGGGAAGCCTCGAAAACACCAGCACGTAAGCAACAGCGACAATTCCACCACCACCCTCCCCAACTACCACCCGTCCTCGACCCTCCCCGCCACCCCTACTCCCGAGTCCCCAAATCTCCCCGTCCTTGACCCCGTCCCATTTCTCACCTGAAATAAGGCTTGCGTGAAGGGAAGGAGAGCTGAGAAGAAAAAATCCGATTGCGCATGCACAAATGGAAAATGACGGCCACCAACGCCATATAACCGCTTCCACGAGCACCATCCAAAGTGAAACGCCGTAGGTTCGGGCCCGCGCGAACCAATGGTTTCGGGGCGGAACTGTCCCCGAAGCGTGGACAAGGCTCGGTTTGGTCTCGCGTCCTCGCAGCAGAGCGCATCGTTTAATTTGTGCATCTCGAGTTCACATGTTCGTGTACATGTTTTGGTTTTGTTCTGGTTGTGCTCATGTTTGTGTGATCTTTCGTATAGGGTTTCACAAAAGTCGGTGACTCGATATGATCATCCATCCGTAACAAGTTCGTCGCACGCGCGCCGGACGACGATTCACGCGATTTCGCAGAGGGCTCGGGCGACGGCAACCCACCCAAGCCCGTGCTGAGTCAGCCGGGCTGGCTGGGCCAGCCGGTCGAGTCAGGTGGTCCCCACGGAGGTGCGTCACTCAGGTGGGTGGTGCGTCATCGGTGGTCCCGGGAGGGCAGTCGGGGCCCCGGCGTCCCGGGCACGGGCCGAAGAGTCGGCCCTCCGAAATCACGCTAAGGGGTCGGCCGCGTGCCCCAGCGCCAGGCTGGGCCGCCTTCGCGTGCTGGGGGTCCGACAACCGAAGGCGTGGAGGTCCTTCGAGCCCCGGGCTTCGGAAGGAGGGGGACTTCTTCGGCCCGATGAGAGTGATCAGGCGCTGTCGCCCCACAAAATTCCGCTACGGAGTACCTTGATTTTATTCGCAAAACTGTACAGTAAAAAATTGTGAACTATGAAACGCTTCAAGAAGGCATTGTGAGCTTCACTCTAAAATCATATGCCTCGCACGCACGGACTCTTTCGTTTCACCCAATTCATCCTGCAAGCAACCGACTTACTACCACTTTATCCAGAATGTACAACCCTCCCTCGTTACCATTCCCCATATGCAAAACCTCTTCCTCCTCAGCCTCTGTTCAAAGCGCCCCTTCTTCCTCAATTTCAACCCTCTCACTCCCCCCTTTACGTTGTTCATGGAGATACATTCAGCATGCACCATTATACAGTAAGATTGTCCATGCCGTTTCGTTTGCCACCTTAGTTCTAGATAAATCCGATCCGAATCCCAAGTTAATATACCATCACAAGCTGATATGACAAAAGCTACTTGGCACTTGCAGGCCACTCTTTTGCGGCTAGGGCTCGTAACACTGCAGCTGCTGTCCATTGTTTTGCCGCCCTTTTCGAGGGCATTGGTTTAGCTTCAACTCGCACCACTGTAGATCCGTCAGCTGCTTTCACCACACAATCCATGCAATAGCCGTCACCTAGAAACCTGGAAATACAAGAAATGGTATTAGTAATCGGAACAGCATTAATCTCACTGCTTGGTGGATTAGCCAATGAATGTAATGAGATGAGAAGTTACACTGTTACATACCTGGGCGCACCAGTGTTGCCACCAGCAGGTTCACAGCTGCCACCAGCAGGTTCACAGCTGCCACCAGCAGCCGCCTCCCAGCCGCTACCACAAGCAGCACCGATAGTACCACCACCAGCCGCCCCCCAACCACCCCCAGCCGCCCCCCACTCACCACCAGCCACCCCCCAACCACCACCACAAGCAGCACCGGTAGAACCACCAATGCTTGAATCACCACCGTTGATTACACCACCATTGCTAGATCCAGCATTCATTGGCACATCCCCACCAACAGCAGCAGCAGGGGCAGCAGTAGCAGGGGCAGCAGCAGGCGCTGCAGGCACAGCAGCAGCAGCAGCAGGAGTATCATCATCAGCAGCAGCAGCAGCAGCAGCAGCAGCAGCAGCAGCAGCAGCAGCAGCAGCAGCAGCAGCAGCAGCAGCAGCAGCAGCAGCAGCAGCAGCAGCAGCAGCAGCAGCAGCAGCAGCAGCAGCAGCAGCAGCAGCAGCAGCAGCAGCAGCAGCAGCAGCAGCAGCAGCAACAGCAGGAGCAGCAGCAGCAGGAGCAGCAGCAGGAGCAGCAGCAGCAGGAGCAGCAGCAGGAGCAGCAGCAGCAGGAGGAGGAGGAGGAGGAGCAGCAGCAGCAGCAGCAGCAGCAGCAGCAGCAGGAGGTGGAGGAGCTGCAGCCGCAGCAGCAGCAGCAGCAGGAGCAGGAGCAGGAGCAGCAGCAGGAGCAGCGGCAGCAGCAGGAGCAGCAGCAGGTGCTGCAGGCGAAGCAGAGGCGCAACCAACAGTAGACCCACCTTGGGCGGATCCAATCCAGACTACAGCAGACTTTCTCCTTGAAGACTTTTGACATGTCTCAGACGCCCCACCTTGTGCGGATCCATCCCAAACCACAAGAGACTTGCTCCTTAATGTGGGATATATTCTCTGGTACACTACCGTCCAACGCCGCGCCTGGCACAAGTTATTCAGGGTGGTTACAACTGCCTGACCTAGCTCACAGCCTCGGAACCCATCTAGGGCGTCCGGAGCGGCCGAACCTATCATAATCTCCCTTGTTACTGCTGCTGCTCCTCCTGCTGCTGCTGCTTCTTCCACCCCTTCCACTGCTCCTGCTGCTGTTGCTGCCCCTTCCTCTGCTCCAGCAGCTGCTGCCACCTCCCCCATTCCCGACTTCCCTCGCTTTCTCTTCTTTCCTCCTGCCTTCATGATAAAAGTGATATTTTGAGACGTCTCAAAAGATGACTTCCCTCGCTTCCTCTTCTTTCCTCCTGCCTTCGTCTTCCCACCAGTACGCTCGCTTCTCCCTCCATTCTCAACAGAACCCTCAACAGAACCCTCAACAGAACCCTCAACAGAACCCTCAGGCACAACTCCATCCATACCTGCTGCTGCCGCCCCTTCCTCTGCTCCAGCAGCTGCTGCCGCCTCCCCCATTCCTGACTTCCCTCGCTTTCTCTTCTTTCCTCCTGCCTTCGTCTTCCCAACATTACACACGCCTTTCCCCACATTCTCAACAGAGCCCTCAGGCACAACTCCCTCCATACCGGATACACCTTCTCCTCCTCCTGCCTCCTTCCCTTCCCCCCATTCCTCTCCTTCCTCCTCGCGTTCCTCCGCGTGAGTTTCCCATGCGGTGCTAACAGCCCCTAGCACGCGCATCCCCTCTGCCTCCTGAAACAGCTGCTGAAAGCCCTGCACAGTCTGGGGTGAGAAGAGGAGAGGGGAGAGGGAAGAAAGTGGGCAACAGTCCCTCCCCCTCCCGAAACAGCTGCCGAAAGCCCTGCACAGTCTGAGGGGAGGCGAGGAGGAGGGGGAAGAGACGAAAGAGGGAGAACGGACTAGTGGGCAGAGATTCACGGGACGGCCTGTGAGATGGGACCAGCCTGTGAGATGGGACCAGCCTGTGAGATGGGACCAGCCTGTGAGATGGGACCAGCCTGTGAGATGGGACCAGCCTGTGAGATGGGACCAGCCTGTGAGATGGGACCAGCCTGTGAGATGGGACCAGCCTGTGAGATGGGACCAGCCTGTGAGATGGGACCAGCCTGTGAGATGGGACCAGCCTGTGAGATGGGACCAGCCTGTGAGATGGGACCAGCCTGTGAGATGGGACCAGCCTGTGAGATGGGACCAGCCTGTGAGATGGGACCAGCCTCATAGGAGGATTCACGGGATAGCACGCCCGCCCCTTCTGCCTCGTGATACAACTTCATTGAGGTCGTTTTTGAGGCGCCTCAAAAACCAGCCTCATAGCCCCCAGCAAGCGCGCCCCTTCTGCCTCGTGATACAACTGCTGAAAGCCCTGCACAGTCTGGGGGAGGATAGGAGGCGGATGAGGGAAGTGGGGAGGATAGGAGACGGATGAGGGAAGTGGGGAGGATAGGAGGCGGATGAGGGAAGTGGGGAGGATAGGAGGCGGATTAGGGAAGTGGGGAGGATAGGAGGCGGATTAGGGAAGAGGGGAGGATAGGAGGCGGATTAGGGAAGAGGGGAGGATAGGAGGCGGATGAGGGAAGTGGGGAGGATAGGAGGCGGATGAGGGAAGTGGGGAGGATAGGAGGCGGATTAGGGAAGTGGGGAGGATAGGAGGCGGATTAGGGAAGTGGGGAGAGGGACGAGCAGCAGCACAGAGGGACGAGAGGAACTCCCTCTGCCTCCTCCCAGCGCAGCTGGCAGAAGCACTGCACAGCCTGGGGGAGGATAGGAGAGAGGTCATGGCAGTATCAGCTGGTTCTCGGAGGGACTTGCAGAGAGATCACAGTCCCTGCCCCCAGCAGCAATACTGCCCCCAGCAGCAATACTGCCCCCAGCAGCAATACTGCCCCCAGCAGCAATACTGCCCCCAGCAGCAATACTCCCTCTGCCTCCTCCCAGCGCAGCTGGCAGAAGCACTGTACTGCCTGGGGGAGGGGAGAAGAGGTGAGGAGGCAGGACAAAAGGAGAGGGGAAAGCAGGGGGGAATTTATGCGATGCGAGCACCTGTTGATTACTGAGGTGCCTGAAAAGCAAAGCACCTGTTAATGTGACGGCCCTCACAGCAGCCAGCACGTGCACACATACATCCTCCTGCCTCCTGGTACCGTCACACTCCTTGTGCAGTCACACTCACATACTCACATACTCACACACTCACATACTCACATAATCACATACTCACTCTCCCTCCTCATATGGACTCACCTCATTACAGTCACACCGGTACAATCACAAATGTTCATTACAATCACCTCGTTACATTCACACCGCTACAATCACAACTCGTATGTTCATCACACTCACCTTGGCTCTTCTCAGCACGTCAGAAGCTGCTTCAACTGTTGCTGCCACGTCATCCACCCCCCACCCCTCCCCCAGCACCACTCCCCTCACCTCCACTTCCATCACCACCCCCTCCTCCCCCTCCTCTCCTCCTCCACCTCCTCCTCTATTCACCCGCATACGCTTTTTACACAGCCCATTTTCCATTCGCTCCTCCCGCTCCCCACCTATCTGCCTCACACCATTCCCACACACCATCCCCCCGTCCCTTTCCCCACCCTCCTCATCCTTCCACGCACCATCCCCATTCACTTCCCCCTCTGTTTCCCCTTTCCCCCCCTCCCGCCCCCACTCCTCCCCCCACTGTTCCCCCCCACCCCCGCTCCCCTGAGTTTTGGGCAAGTAAATGGGGGCGGGGAGGGAGAGGGCGCAGCAAAAGAGGAGCAGCGCGGAGGGGGGGTGGAGGGAGAGGGGATGCAGCAGCGGGATGGGGCAGAGCCAGGAAGAAACGACGTGCCATGTGCGGGCGAGAGGGCATGGGGGACGGAGAGGAGGAGGTGCGCGGGGGTCGAGTGCGGTGGGAGGGGTGCTTGGAGGAGTGGAGTCGAGAAATACTGCTGCTGTGAGGGCCTTGATGAGACCAGAGACATCCTGATGGGAGGGGAAGTGAGGAGGGGAGAGAGGCGGGACGAAAGGAGGGGAGAGAGGAGGGGAATTGTCGCCAATGTTGGCGAAACAAGAGGAATGTATGTGGGTAATGGAATGACTTTTAAGTCGAATGTATGTATGTATGTATGTATGTATGTATGTATGTATGTATGTATGTATGTATGTATGTATGTATGTATGTATGTATGTATGTATGTATGTATGTGTGTGTGTGTGTGTGTGTGTGTGTGTGTGTGTGTGTGTGTGTGTGTGTGTGGTGTGTGTGTGTGTGTGTGTGTGTGTGGGTGCGTGCGTGCGTGCGTGCGTGCGTGCGTGCGTGCGTGCGTGCGTGCGCGTGCGTGCGTGCGTGTGTGTGAGTATTTATTTATGTATGTGGGCATGCCTGGCCCTTCAGATCTTTGCAGTGCATCAAGAAGGACGCAAGAGGAATTGGGCAGCCTCTGAGAAGAAAGAGAGGCGAGGCAATCAAAAGGTTGTAGCAATGTGGATAGAAAGAAAGTGGTACAGACAGACAGTATGTTGGAACCATGTGTAGGGTTGCACGGTTACCTGCTCATATGGTTACACAGTGTTACCTTGCAGTACGGCTTCTGTCCATCATCATTGTCATCACCATTGCCCATGTCCCCTCTCCCCTCGTCCTCTTCTCCCCCCACGTCCTCACCTCTCCCCACGTCCTCCACTCTTTCAATTACAGCCTGTTGTAACATCCTCTGTGATCCAACCATGCCGTCTCTACTGCTATCCTCTGCCTCTTTCGCGTTCTCCTCCCCATCCATCTCCTTCTCCTTCTCCTTCCCGTCCTCGTCGTCCCCATCCTTCTCCTTTTCCTTTCCCTCCTCTTCCCTTCCTGATTCTCCAGCAGCCACATGCGCCAATTCAGCTGCATCGGCAGCAGTCTTTGCCGCCCGCTGTGTCTTGCGCACCAATTGCAGCAGCCCACGACACGCCGCCAGCTGGCAGAAGCGCTCCGATTGATGCACAGTTCTGCGGAGGTCGGTCAGCTGGTGCGGGGACAGCCGGGCGGCGTGCGATGACGTGGCATGTGATGACATGGCACCTGGTGACGTGGCAGCACGAGAATGGGCCGCCCCGAACGCTGCTCGCACCATGTGGTGCATGACTAGAAAGTCCAACAGAGTTGCCCCCAGGAACACCAACCGCCTCTCAAACTTCAACCCCTCCTCCCGTATCGCCTCCCTCAAAATCCCCTCATTTCTGAATCGATACCCCATCGCATCCTGAAGCTCCGACAGCCAACCAGCTGATGCCACGTGGATCATGGGGTTCATCCTGCAACAGAAAGGTTCCAGAAAGCTGGGCTGGTGGATCTGCTGACCTGGCAGGGCGTTGTTGGGTGGCGGTGGGAGAGACTGTTGCGGTGGAGTCGGGAGATGCAACGAGGATTCTGATACCAGCATGCCCTGCAGCTGCCGCACCTCCTCCTGCTCCTGCTGCTCCTGCTCCTGCAGCTCCTGCCCCTGCCCCTGCTGCTGCTGCTGCTGCCCCTGCCCCTGCTGCTGCTGCTGCTGCTGCTGCCCCTGCTGCTGCTGCTGCTGCTGCTGCCCCTGCTGCTGCTGCTGCTGCTGCTGCTGCTGCACACATTCCCCTTCAAGCAGCTTAAGCCGCTTCTCCGGCAACTGAAGTGGCAGCAGGGATGGCTCTTCAAGTGACTCCTCCAACTCGTGCTTGGTGCCGCACACCCGTTGCTCTGACTCCAGTGGCGTGGCTGACGTGGCTGGCGTGGCCGCTTCTGCTGCCTCTGCTGCCCCTGCTGCTTTTGTTCCTAATTCCATATCGGGCTGTGTTGCCACCCCTCCATTCCCCATCCCTTCTATCCATCCCTTTGCCACCCCCTCCGCCTCTCTACCCCTCCAACCCATCTCTCCCCTCAGAAGCTCTCCTACGCCCTCCGTAGGCAGGCCCAGCCACCTCAGCACCGGCAGCGCCATGTCAGCACCGCCGCAGCGCCAGCTGGCGCCCACCAAGGCCTCTGCCACGTCAGCGAGCAATTTCTTGCCCAAATGGCTCGCTGACTTGGCGGTGGCTGCTGCCTGCGCCGCTGCCAGCGAGGCGAAGGCAGAATCTAGAAGGGATTTGGGGGTAGGAGGAAGGTTCTGGGAAGCAGAATTAGATTGAGAGAGAGACGCAGGAGGAGGCTCTGTTGCTTGTGACTGAGTGTGTGAAAGGGAGTGTGGTTGGGGGAGTGAGTGTGAAAGGGAGTGTGGTTGGGGGAATGAGTGTGAGAGGGAGTGTGGTTGGGGGAGTGAGTGTGAGAGGGAGTGTGGTTGGGGGAGTGAGTGTGAGAGGGAATCAGCCAGAAGCAGCAGAGCATGGGAGGGTGGGATGAGAGGGCCGACCCAATCGGAGGGACTGAAGGGCTTGTGGCGAATGAAGGGAGGAACACCGGCTTTAAGTGCCAGCGCTGCGAGATGCTTGTTGGACACCATGCGCTGGCACTCCCCCTTCATGTCATCATATGTCGACCGGTGCATGATTCCCTGACTGTAATTGGATGCTGGTGGTGGGTCTTTGCTCTCAGCGTGTGATGCGAGGTGCTTGTTGGACACCAGGCGCATGCACTCCCCATTCACGTCCTTGTGTGTCAACAGGGAGGCATTGCCTTCGTTGTGTAGATCACTCCCCTTCCTCTGCCCATGCCCATGCCCACGCCCCTGTTCCCGCCCGTCACGCTGTCGCTGACGTGGCAGGCGGGCGCCAAACAGGTGGCAGGAGGTGGCGAGCTGCACGCAGCTGTCACCAAGCGCCTCATCAATCTCGTACGTCCCAACACCGCTCTCTTTGGTGCCGAGGCCGGTCAAGGCCCGCAAGAGCTGAAGGCAGGGTGGGGAGGGGAGGGGGAGAGTCGAGGGTGTGTGTGTGAGCATGGGCGCACACAGCTTCCACCCAACACTTGGTCAAACTCATACGTTCCCACGCTGTTCCCTGCGGTGCCGGGGCATGTCAGGGCGTATATGAGCTGTCTAGTTTTGAGGCGCCTCAAAACTGTGATGCCGGGGCATGTCAGGGCGTATATGAGCTGACGACAAGGTTGGGCCAAAAGAGAAAGGGAAAAAGAGTTGGTGGGTGGATAGGGGTGGTTGAGGCAAAGGAGAGGCAGGAGGAGGCGAGCTGCGCGCAGCTGTCACCGAGAACTTCGTGCGAATCCCCACGCTGCTCCCTCCCTCTGGTGCCTGCCGGGGCATGTCAGGCTCGCAATTTTTGAGGCGCCTCAAAAATCCCCACGCTGCTCCCTCCCTGTGGTGACGGGGCATGTCAGGCTCGCAATTTTTGAGGCGCCTCAAAAATCCCCACGCTGCTCCCTCCCTGTGGTGACGGGGCATGTCAGGCTCGCAGCACCTGAATGCAGGGGGAGGGGAGGCGCAGGGAGGGAAGATGTCTTGCTGCGTGGATATGGTTGGTAGTACTAGTAGGTGCAATAGAGGAAGGGAAGGCGAGCTGCATGCAGCTGCCACCCACCACCTCATCACTCTCCTACGTCCCCATGGCGTTCTCTGTGGTGTCGGGGCACGATACTTTTAAGTCGACTCAAAACGAGGTGACTCACTTATGACTTTTGAGTCAACTCAAAACGAGGCGACTTTTTACTTTAGAGTCGACTCAAAACGAGGTGACTTCTTTCCCCTTCTCTCCCCTCCCCTTCACTCACCAAGAACCTTGTCGCTCTTGTACGTGGTTGGGGTAATGCCATAAGAACCACTTCGTGCAGTGCAGTGCAATGGAATGCGGTGCATGGGAGTGACTCACATCAATCGCAGGAAAATTTGGTGCTGCTGCTGCTGCTGCTGCTGCCACTGCCGTTTCCGCTGCCAGTGCTGCTGCTGTCGTTCCCTGCTGCTCTCATGATTTGCCTCGCAAGTCCCCTGGCGCTCACACCCGTACTGTCGCACAAGGAACCGCCGAATGTCCCGCGCAGTGAGAAGGCAGTCAAGGCGGGAGAGCAGCGAGGGGAGCAGCGAGGCAAAGAGCACGTGCTGCACTGGCAGCACCGGTACTAGAAGCTCCAATGGGAGGTATGATGCTCTTCCCCAAGCTCTTCCCCTTACCCTTCTTCTCCTGCCCTTCTCCTTGCCCTGCTGCTGCTCCTTAGCTGCCTCCTCCTGCCTTGTCTCTTGCGTCTGCTGCTGCTGCTCATTCTGTGCTGTAGTCTTGTTTACTGCAGCCGTGTTTGCTACAACCGTGTCTGCTCCAGCCATGTCTGCTACAACCGTGTCTGCTGCAGACATATCTGCTCCAGCCATGTCTGCTACAACCGTGTCTGCTGCAGACATATCTGCTCCAGCCATGTCTGCTACAGCCATATTAGCTGTAACGCTGGCAGGTACATGCATTTGCTCTTCTCGCCCTAAATGGACAGCCCTGTTGACGAGATCCACTGTGTCCACTGCGTGAGGGAGGATGGAAGGGAGAAAAAGAGGGAGAGAGAGGGAAAGAGAGAGGCGAGAGCAGAGAAGGGCACTCAAATAGCACCTTAAAACTCGTCTAACTGCCTTAATTGGTCGGCCCTGTTTATATCGAGCCGCCTTTTGAGACGTCTCATAGGCACAGGCAAGCACAGACAGACAGGTGGACTGGTGACCATATAGAGCCATACAGGGAGAGATGCAGAGTCACTCACATTCTGGATGTGCCTGCAATGTTGAAATCACCTTTGAGAATTCTCAGACGTGATTTTCAGCATTGTGGACTGGTGTTTATATAGAGCGACACAGGGAGAGATGCAGAGTGAACAGCGGCACACTCACATTCTGGTGGTGCCTGCAGCATCAGCACCGCGTTTTGCAGCTCTGGCTTGAACCGGCATGCAGTGAACAGCGGCTGGTCGGGATACTGCAGCGATATGCCGTACCTGAGAGGGTGTTAGGGGTGCAAAAGGGTAGAGGGGAGGGATGCAGGGGTGAAAGGGTTAGGGTTTGGGGATGATCAGGATGCTGTAGCAATATGCCATACCTGGAGGGGATGAGGGGTGGCAGGGTAGGGATGACTTACGGCTAGGGGTAGAGTCAACGCAGACCAATCCTGGTATATTTGAAAAATCTGGATAGTGACATGGGGTTTGGGGTTGCAGGTTGAATCAGCCAATGAATTTGGACTAAAATGTTCTTCTTATGAGTTCAGTTTATAGGGTGCACCAGTGAGTGCAGCGGCAGCTGGGAGAGAGCACTGGAAAGAACGCTCCACCAAACCAGGAGGGCTGGTTGTCGGTTGCGTGCACTTGTTGGTTGGGAAGTAAGAGAGATAACCGAGGGGCATGCAAGATATGATCGCGGGATGGGACATGCGTGCACTCACTGGTTCTGGAAGTACTGTTGGATCGTCCCTCCATGCGGCCCCTCGAAATCACTGCGTGCTGTCCGCCCCTGGGGGTCCCTCCCCACCAGATGGTACAGCAGACGCGCATGCACCGCACATGCCACCATGCCATGCAGCTCGTGCTCTTTCACAAGCCCATGAGCGGTCATGAGCAGAGGCGTGGCGTCAGGGGCACGAGGAGGCACAAGCAGGGGTGTGGTAGCAGTAGCGGGGGCGTTGTTTGGAACAGCAGCATCCGCACATGCCACCATGCCGTGTAGCTCGTGCTCTTTCACAAGCCCATGAGCGGTCATGAGCAGAGGCGTGGTAGGGATATCAGGGGCATTGTGACCGGTGTTTGGATCAGCAGCAGAAGCAGCGCCATCAGCATCAGCATCAGCATCAGCAACAGCATCAGCACCATCAGCAGCGGCATCACCACCAGAAGCAGCAGCAGCAGCAGCAGCATCAGCAACAGCACCAGCACCACCACTAGCACGAGCAGCACGGCGAGCGTCACGACGAGCAGCACGGAGAGCAGCACGGCGAGCGTCACGACGAGCAGCATGATAAGCATCACGATGAGCACGGTGTTTCATAACCGCACTACTGCCTCCCAGACCCTGAGAAGCCACCCTGTCGACCGTCTCCCAGTCAATCCTCCCCACCAACATGCGCATCATATCATCATCATCCCCTCCCAAGCTCATGCCGTCATTCCCTCCCCCATGCTCCCCTGCGTCCACCCCTTCGCCTTCCCTGCCAGCATTCACCTCTATACCTTCCTCCCCTCCCCCATGCTTCCCTGTGTCCACCCCTTCCCATTCCTGCCCTCTCCCAACAGCCTCGTGTTGCCCTCGCCCTCTCTCTTCCCCACCCCCATGCTCCCCTGCGTCCACCCCTTCGCCTTCCCTGCCAGCATTAGCCTCAATTCCTTCCTCCCCTCTCCCTCTTTCCTTTTCTCCTTCCTTCTCTCTCCCCTCAGCCTCTCGCAAGTCTGCGGCTGTCCCTTTGCCTCTCAGTTCCCCTTTCCCCCCCACCAAGCAGGGCAGCACGAGGCAGTAATGGGATGCGGTCCAGAAGGCCCCAAAGGGGCGCACAGCGGTGCTGATGGGTGTGGGAAGCGCGGGAGATGTGCCCGCAGCAGCATGAGCTCCAGTTGCAGCAGCACCTGGTGCAGCTGCTGGAGAAGCAGCAGCAGTATGAAGCGCTACAGCAACACCCCCTGGAGCAGCAGCTTCGGCTGTAGCAGCAGTTGTTTCAGCTGTGGCAGCACCAGCGGTTTCAGCTGTAGCAGCAGCGGTTTCAGCAGCAGCAGCAGCTTAGGCGAGGGTGGGAGCATGGTGCATGAGGTCCCATCGGTCCAATGCCATGCCAAACAGACGCATGTGGTAGCACATGGCACTGGCCAGCTGAGAACATAAGTGAGAATGGGGAGACAGGGGAAATGGGGACATGGGGGAGCAGTGGAAGACGGAGGTGTGGATGTGGGTGCAGGTGGGAGCATGGTGCATGAGGTCCCATCGGTCCAACGCCATGCCCAACAGACGCATGTGGTAGCACATGGCACTGGCCAGCTGAAGATCATTCGAGAGTATGAGGATACGGGGGAGATGGGGGAGATGGGGGTGTGAAAGTGGGTGCAGGTGGGTGGAGGTAGGTGCAGGTGGGTGGGTGCATAGCATGAAGTCCCATGGATCTAACGCCATGACAAACAGACGCATGTGGTAGCATGGCGCTGCTCAGCTGCGGGGCAAGGGAGAGAAGGGGAAGGGGGGAAGGAGGTGAAGGGGGGATGTAGGTGGGTGTAGAGCTCATGCGCTCTGACACCTGCATGTGCTCATGCGCTCTGACACCTGCATGTGCTCATGCGCTCTGACACCTGCATGTGCTCATGCGCTCTGACACCTGCATGTGCTCATGCGCTCTGACACCTGCATGTGCTCATGCGCTCTGACACCTGCATGTGTGAGCAGCTGACCCATTGTGACAGCTGCATGACCTGAAGCTGAAGATAAATCTGAACTTGAACCTGAACCTGAACCTTATCCAATCACCTGAAATACCTGATAACCCGGACCTACTGGTTCACACGAAGGACTGATGACCCGAACCATCTGAATCGCCTGAACCATCTGAATCACCTGAACCATTTGAATCACCTAAACCGTTGATTGGTCTGAGCGCGGACCATTTGAATCACCTGCTGAGGCGAGAACGCGAGGGCTCCAAGAGGGGAGAGGCGGACCAATCCCGAAGAAACTGAAGTTGGTTGCGATGAACGGTGGTGGGGAAACCCTGGTGATGCGGCAGCAGAGTTAGCACTGGCACCATGAGCAGTGGTAGCAGCAGCCACGCCAGCAGCAGGTCCTGACGCAATAGCAGCAGGTCCTGACGCAATAGCAGCAGGTCCTGACGCAATAGCAGCAGGTCCTGAAGTAATAGCAGCAGGTCCTGAAGTAATAGCAGCAGGTCCTGAAGCTGTAGCAGCAAGTGCCGAATCTGTAGCATCAGGTTCCGGGTCTGTAGCAGAATGTGCCACGTCTGTAGCAGAAGCAGTGCAAGCTCCAAAATACTTGGAGCAAAGGGGGACTTCCATGTGTGCCACGTCATCATCCAACGGGCCAATGGCAGGCGACGTCAGCAGCATGAACCCAGAAAAGCACTCTGTGCTGCGCGTCCCGTTATAAGCATCTCCACTACCGGAACTCGAGGTGGAGGAGAAGAATCGGAGATGATAGGCATGGAAGGGACCGATACTGGGACTTGCTGGGGTTGTAGGTCTGGCTGCTGTTGGTTCATCCGTTGCTGCTGCTGATGGTTCATCTGTTGCTCCTGCTGATGGTGCTGCTGTCCGTGGTGAATCATCTACTGACGGTGCTGGTGTTGCTGTTGGAACGGATTTCTGGGACGTCTCAAATATACTGGGAAGTGCTGGGGTGGTAGGTGTGGCTGCTGATGGTTCATCTGTCGCTGCTGCAAATGTTGGTGCTGTCCGTGGTGAATCATCTAGTGACGGCGCTGCTGTTGCTGTCGGCATGGATTTCTGAGACGTCTCAAATATACTGGGACATGCTGGGGTGGTAGGTGTGGCTGCTGCTGATGGTTCATCTGTTGCTCCTGCTGATGGCGCTGCTGTCGGTTGATCTGTTGAATCATCTACTGACGGTGCTGCTGGTGCTGCTGCTGCCGTTGGGATGGGTACTGGTGCTGACATGGTAGCTGGTGTTCTGTCCGCCATATGGAGTCAAGATTCACGAATTCGGCAAGCTGAATCCTGCTCAATGACAATGCGACTTTGCAAAAGTAGAAGACTAGGAGGGATCAAGTCGTCACTGAACCGCGATCGGCAGCGAAGGAGTCTGCTTTGTCAGCTGCGAGACAATTCACTGAAATCCCGGTAGATTCCCCTGTAGCTTTCCGTGGGTTACCGCAGGCTTACAACTCTCTGGTTTCAATCAACTGCGTGGCAAATCGCGGGTGCTTTTATCCGCTGCGGAATTTCCACTTGACGCGACGCGGCCTAACGGCGGACGACAATGACGGAGGTCAAGCATGGGCTTGTGTTTCGCGGTAGAGTCTTGCTTCTGAAATCAGTGATGAGAGAAGGTAATGGTTGAAAGGGCCATAGGAGGTGGATGAGAAGTGTTGTTTGGAGGTGGATGAGAAACGGAGACTTCGAGGTTTCTCTGGCATCAAATTCATAATCAGGCGCAGTGGTCCCACAACTCTCTCCTATGGACTACCGCGATTTCGTCCATTACTGTACAATCTAATGTTGTAAGCGTACAGTAATATTTCTTAAAGTACACGGAAAATAAATTGTGAACTTCATTCCAGATTTGTATGCCTGACACGCATCGACTCTCTCGTTTCACCCAACACATCCCGCAACCTGCGCACCACCACTTCGCCCAGAACAAACAAAGCTCCCTCATAAACACTCCCCATAGGAAGCACCCCTTCCTCAATCTGAGTTCCGGACACCCCTTGTTCAACCTCAACCTTATCACTGCCTCCACCAGATTGTATATCATCTGCCATCGTCTGAGCAGGAACGTACACCACACGATCTGCCAGCCTGGCACAATCCCCTTCCGGCTGTGCAGTGATGACTGCAGTCCTGGCTCCTGCAGATCTAGCCTCCCCCAGAAGAGCCTCAACAGTGGAAAAGCGGCCTGGTCCGGCGCTGACAAGGAGGAGGTCTCCTGGACCAATGGGAGGGCAGGACATGTCACCCACGACGGTGGCCTGCAGGCCTAGATGGTACAGTCTCATGGCCAGAGCTCGCATCATCAGGCCCTCTCTGCTCGGGGGGAAAAGAGGGGGGAAGGCGGCACAGAGAGAGGGGGGGTGGGGGGGTGGGGAAGAAGAGGATAAGAGGGGGGAGGGACGGAGAGGGGGGGAGAAGAATAAGGAGATTTAGAATGATACTTTTTCACATTATATATACATGGGACAGAACAGGCACCCAGGAGAAAACCAAGTTTTGATTAAAAAGAGATGGCTAAAATTTTGGCAGTCGGAATGAGGAAGAGCTTACCGTCCGACTCCATAGAGAGTGATCTTTCCGTCTTTTGCGGAAACAATTTCCTCCACTAGCGTCTCGAAAGGGTCACCCTTCGCAGCATCGCCAGACAAGCGGGGCGCCATGGCAGGAACAGATGCTGCTGCGTGTGCGAACCTGTCAAACACGGCGCGAATCTCCTCGATCGCGCGATATGCCAAGTCTGAGTTGCTGACTTCGTTCGCCTGACCAGCCTTAATTGTTCTAGTGCGGAATCTGGACAATGGAAGAGAGCGTCGAGAAGTGGGAATGTGTCTGGTTGTCTTCGTCGGGATAGGACAGTGTAGCGAGCTGGCACACTCGATTGCGATTGGTAGAGGAGCCACAGGCGCGCGAAGCTGGAGCTGACTGAATAAGGATGTACTACAGCTGTAAGCCATGGCGCACACGAAAAGAAGCTGAGGGCTGACGACCACGGTACAGAATCATCAGACTGAAACACTGGGAGGCATTTCTGCCAGAATCCGGTACACGCTGTGGAGGTCCCCGTTTCTTGTGGTAATGTTTTTGCCTTTCCCTCTCTGTTCTGGTGCAGAATAAGCCAGGTCGAGTGTAGATAACAAGTTGTATTGAAGAATCCCTGTCAGGATTCAGGCTCGTCACATCGCGGTTCGTTTTCCCGCCAATTTCTTAGTTTGGTTTGCAAGGTATGGGCGGTGCGGGTCTGTGATGTTCCCAAACGGCACAATGAAAGCCCCTCCACACCACATCCCTCCAATCTCGCACCTTACTCCAGCCCATCCGAACGCATCCCACATGTAAATTCTTTTTATCTCATCCATCCCATCATTGTACCTCCCTCACCCTCGAGATTGTCGCTGTCCGTTCGGAAAATCCCTGTTTTCGGTTCGGTCTAGCTGTTTTCCCACAACTCCCACCTCCGGGTTTCCGCACTCTCTGCTGATGTCATTAGCCCACCCATAGTCTGTGCGCCATTGTTATGTCCATCCTTGTACAAGTAGGCTTACCGTTGACCCTATTCCCCCTGTCCATAGATGGTTCTCGTGTATGCCGCGTTGTAGTGCTGCTCCGCAAAGACCGTCAATCAAATTCGGTCCAGGTTTTTCCCGTTGTCATAGGTTTTACTGAGTATCTTGTTGTCATAGCTAACGTCGTTACTTCAGCCGAAGGTTCTCCGACAGAAACTCACATTTCTGTGTGATACCTTCACGCGCTTTGTTATCAAGATAGTCGAACAGGGAACTACATTTCTTGAGCTGTTTATATAATGGACGATCACGATGAGATCAATGATGCGGTAGGGAGGCGCTTAGAGTTCAGTTGTAGAATGGCCAATCAGAGGCAAGACATAGAAAACCAGGACAGCAGTTCTCTCAGCAATAGGTTCTCTCAGAATCCGTCAGTTAAACTTTGTCATAGGTCGGATCTTCGGACGGAGCAATGTAGAACGGATCAGGTCGACGAGGACGACGAGGTGGACGAGAAAGATTCGTTTTCTGGAGATCTCGATAAGTCGACTGATCCGAATGATCAGAACGATCAGAACAATCAGACTGATCTAGATGATTTCAACGATCAGCATGAAGGACGAGAAGTTTCACTAGATGACGAGCTCGGCGACGGTCAAGAACCGGGGGAAACCGAGACTGATCAAGAGCAGGACCCGGAGCAAGGCAGAGAAACAGACCCCGAGTTCTCGTCCGCGTTAGAAGACGCGCTACAGCACGAGGACGTATCGTCGACCGTGCTTCTTTCACACAGGGTACGTATGCCAATGTCATCCCCTCTTCGTTCTCGTTAGCACAAGCGCGTATCGATTCGGTTTCTTACTAGTATCGAACAACTGTTCCATATGCCATCCTCTCTACGTCCTCGTTAATCAAACGTAGCAGTTGTTGTTGTTAGATGACCAACCGGTCGCGACGTTTCCACTCACCAGATAACTGGAACCCTGAAAAAGTTCACCTCTCGACAAGTAAACACCCGCTGCCATTATGTAAGCTCTCTCAATCATCCTGTCTTCGTTCCTGGCAGTCGTTTGCGTTCCTGTCACGGACACGTGGCCGACGGTCATTGGTGGGGGACATTCAGCCATGGCTCCTGAGCAAGCGAGCAGCTTGGCGCGCGAGGCAGAGAGGTGAAATCCAACCTTCCCATCATGTGACGTTTCCATGATCTTATCATTTCACATTCTCTTTCGCCTGAATCACGTCTGATGAATCTCACGCGCCTGAAGTTTTCATCCATCCCCAACTCGTAATCATTTGCCAACCCATAATCAAACCACAGGCATTCCCTAGTCCCATCATCTAGCCTCATCATAACCTATCCCATGCGTTGGTTGGCTTTTCTTCTCAAACCATCCCTTTCAGCCAATCGACTGGGCTGCCTCGTCTCTCCTATCTCCCCAACCATCTCCTCTGCCTCCCAACTCGACCTTATAACGAAGGGCGCTGAGAGCGACGCGCTTTCTCCTCCCCTGGCTGGCATTCGGCGTAGTCACAGCATCAGCGAGACGAGCAAGTCGGAACTGCATCCGTTCCCCTGCCCGCAGTCACATGGCTCTGGCTTCGGATGTTCTTGTAACGGTGCCTTGGCTATCCGGCTCCCGGAGTTTCAGCTTTCAGGAAGGCTGGAGGAAGAGGAGGAAAATGTGTTTGAGAAGGAGGAGGAAAGTGCATGTGGTGGGCAGGATGAGAAAGGCGACAAAATGGATATCAGAGGGGTGGAGACGAAAGGACTCAAATCAGGTGGAGCGGAGAATGGTAGCAAGCGGACGAACCGTGATAATGATGATGGTAATGGCTATGATATGGGAACGGGTGGCGATGGTGATGCTGGTGTTGGGACTGGTGATGGTTGTGAAATGCTGCAACCGACCCCAGGTGGAGCCTCCCCCACTGGCCTCAGCTCTGCCTCCCGTTTCAGCCGCCCGACTATGTCAGCCGCAGCGGCAGCAGCAGCCACAGAAGTAGCAGCAGCAGAGGATGGCCCTATAGTGCGGTCCTCGTGGCCTATGGCTGACGGTGTGACTACGTGGGACTGTTACAGTAAGGCGAGTCGAAGGGATTGGAGCAAGGAGCTGGGGCTAACCGATAGGGTGGTGCCAGGTGGACTGGCTGGGGAAGGCAGTGCGAGCGCAGGGAATGAAGGTGAGGACGGCTTGAGGAGGGAGAGGGAGGAAAGTCGGGGAAACTTGACAGAGGAGGAGGAAGGGAAACTGCAGAAGCCGACAGGGTGCCGTCCTAACGAAGAGGGTGGTAGTATGATTGAGGAGCAGCAATGTAGCGGTTATCGTGTTCTAGGGAAGGGAATGGAGGTGAAAGGGGGTACATCTGGTGGTGCGGGAGCGGGTGATGCTCTTGAAGCCGCCCTTCCTGGGGGTGCTGCTTACGGAGCTGCACCTGCTGCTGCTCCTCCTTCCCCTCCTGCTCCTGCTCCTGCCCCTGCACCCGCTTCTGTTTCTCCTCCTCCTGCTGGTTCTTCTGCTGCTTCTTCGTCTGGGGTTGCTCCTTCTTTGACTGACGGAGGGGACGAGGCAAGGGTGGTGAGGCGGGAAAGGCATGAACCGAGAGCACAGGAGGAGCCAAGTGAAAGGACGTCGGATCTCCTCGCGAGAGGGGCAGGAGGAAGAGACCCTGGTTCATCTGGGTGTAAATTGACGTGTGATGACTGGGAGAAGGGGTTTAAAGAAAAGCTGAAACATCCTGTTGGTGCTACTGGTGCTGCTGTTGCTGCTCCTGCTAGCTCTGCTACTGACGGTAAGGCAGCTCAGCGTGGTTCTTGTGGCGCTCAACTAGAGAGTGATGCGGTTCGGAAGAAGCCTGACGAAGCTGGGTGCGAAAGCGGCGAGGCTCGGCGAGGCAAGGCTCGGCACGAGCATTCAGAGGCTCGGAGCGAGCGACAAGGCTCATGGCATGGGTACAGAATCGGGGACTGGAAGCAGCAGCTGGCGCAGGCTGCTGAGCTGGACGTACGCGTGGGACGATTTGATTGGTCGGACCTGGTGGCGCTTTACCGTACAGAAGTGGGAGGGGAGGGTAGCTCGGCTGTCGCAGGGGGGGGAGGAGGAGGGGGAGGGGGAGGAGGCGAGGGTCAGTCGGATGCACCTGTGATGGAGAAGAGCGGTAGTGTGGAGGTAAGGCATCCAAACGCACCGACAGTCGTAGTATGTCTGTGGTGTCCTTCAGGTGCCTCAGGTGTCCCTCGGAGGTCTTTCAGGTATCTTTCAGGCTGCAAGCGTCCTGCATGCCATTTCTCCTGAACTGCTGAAATCCATGCTGCGTTCTCGTCTCGACTCTCCAAGGTGACCTCTGACTCCCATTGCCTTTCGCGCTCGTTAACCCTTCCTGCGTCTCCTCTCCTTCCATTCCCTGTTCTGTCTGTTCCTCATCGTGCCTCAGGTGACCGTCAACTCTGGTGGAATCGTGTACTTTGCACTGTTCCGACAAAAGAAGCACGAGGCTGGACCCAAACGGTGTGATTTTGAGCACGAAGAAACAGAGGAGGAAGGCGGGAATAGGGCGACTGAGGGAAAGCTAGGAGCGCAAATTCCGCCTCAAGACACACTCCAAAGCAGAGATAACAAAGGAGTGGAAAAGGCTGGGAAGGAATGGTTAGAAGGTGAAGGAGAAGGGGTAGATCCTCCGCCGGCTCTGGCAGCAGCATGCATCAAATTCGCAGGGTCGCGCATTGTGGTGCAATCGGAGCGATTCGGAGCAGAGCTGGCCATGCATCTGGGTATAGCCACGCCCCAGGTACGCGTGGTGCACAGGGGGAATCACGGCAGAAGCAGCACCCACAGCAGTCCCGTGCTGTGCAGCGCCACCAACACCAACAGCAGCAGCAGTAGTGGCACGACGGGAAGGAGGAGGGCGACGGTAGCAGGAACCAGTAGTGTGGCGTCACTGGGTGGTTCTGGTTCTGGTTCTGGCGCTGGCGCTTGCAGTGGCGACCGATTCGCACTGGATAAAGAGAACCAGCAGCAGGGGTATTTAGGTCGAGTGGACAGCTGCGGTCTGGGCCATGATCTGGCTTTAACGGCGCATGAGCTTGCTGTGAAGCAGGGTCGCGAGTGGGAGGAGGTGGTGTTGGCAGTGGAAAGACTGAGGGAGAGAGAGGTGGAGGCGAGAGGGGAAGGGGGTAGGGGCGGGAGAGGGGAGGAGGTGGACGCGAGGGATGGTGGACCGGAGGAGGGAGGGAGTATGGAGGAAAGGAGGGAGAGTGGAGGGAAGGAGGAGGCGAGTGTGGTGGAGGAGTTTCTGGAAGCCCTGCAGCTGAGCCGATGCTTCTTGTTCATGGGGTGGGTAATGCAGAGTCTATCCGTAATCATTCTTGATCATCTGTTGTGTCGTTTACTTGCCTGCCGCCTTGTGACTCCGTTGAGTCATGGGTTGGGTTTACGCTCACAAGGGATGAAACGCGCTAGGCCTTGCACCAGAGCCTACGCAAATGCCTCTCGTTCGTGGGGTGGGTGTAGGGAGCACCTTCGTTTTTTTTTTTTGTTGATTTAGCAAACGGAAGATTGCTGTTTGCTATTCTTTTTGTTTGCTTCTCACCTCCCCCTTCTCCCCTACTACCTCTCCTCCTGTTTTTTTAGACGACTCAAAACTCTCCTCCCATGTTCTCTTATAAGCCTCGTTTCCTCATGTGCTTACCCTGTGCCATGCCATGCAGGCATGTAAAAGGGCAATCCTTTGTCTCCTGCCCCCGGGACGAGCTCTTCCCTGTCCAATCTGCCCGGGAAAAAACAGCTCATTCTCTGGGCCGTGTGCTGCTGCTGGATATCATGCTGAGGAACGACGACCGGTTGCCCTGCCCGGAATTGGGGTGGAGGGGTAACCGCGGTAACATCTTATGTTCCAACCGACCATTACTGAATGCCTTGGAGCGGAAAGGGAGTGTAAAGGAGAGCGAGATGGAGGGGGGTTTGGGTGGTCGGCCTGATGACAGGAGGAGAGGGAGCGGAGGCAGGGAAGTCGGAGGAAGAGGAGGTGGAGGAGGAAGGGGGAGGGGAAGGGTGAGGGTGCGAGGAAGAGGAAGGGGAAGAGCCAATGGGGGACGGGGAGGAGAATGCGATAGTGACAAGAATCAGGAGGAGCAAGGGAATCAGGGGAATCAGGTAAAGCAGCTGCCAATGGGGCAGGAGGAAAAGCAACTGTCGGTGGGGCAGGAGATACAACTGCCTTTGCGTGTGGGGCAGGAGGTGGTGGTGATCGACTCGTCCATCTGCCGGCGAGTGCCGCCCGGGCTGGCAGAGCAGGACCGCGAGGCCATTCCACGCCTCGTGCAGCTGCTGCTCCACAACCCCCAGTTCGCCGCCCACACACTCTTCCACGCCTCCTTTGGCGCCCTGGGCGAGCGGGACAAGCAGGCCGAGCAGGGGAAGCAGGATAAGCTGAGCGTTCTAGGCGAGCAGCACAGCCTGAGCGCCCTGGGCGAGGTGGGCGGGGTGCGTGAGAGGGTGGGGAAGGTGCCTCTTGGTGGCGGTATTCACAAAGCTCCAGAGGGAGGTCACCTGACGTCATCGTCATTTTCATCCTCGCTAGAGTCATCCTCGCTTGGCTCGTCCTGCTCCTCCTTCTCGTCCTCCTCGTCTGGTGCTACAGCTGCTCCTACAGGTGGTACCAGTGCTGGTGCTGCTACTGGTGCTTGCATTCAGCCTGTTAGCAGTCATGTCCAGTCTCTCCGTGCACTAACTGAAGCTGGAGCGGCCCTAGAAAGCTCCGCTCATACCACGGAGCTTAAACCCGCCCCTACATTGCCGAGAAGCAACAGTACCTCCCCCACTGCTGTTACTACAACAACCAGCATCACCAGCAGCATCACCACCACTGCCACCGTCACCGCAACCACTGCTACCATCACCACTGAATCTGCTGTCAAAATCATCACCAAATCCAGCAGCAGCAGCTGCAGCAGCAGCAGCAGCAGCAGCAGCATGTCCTTTCAGCCCTCCGAAATGGCACAGCTGGCAGCAGCAGCGCACCCCCTCGTGTCCCCAGAAACTCGCGCCTTTCAACAGGGCTTCAGGGAGGCGGTGGAGGAGATGGGGCGGGTGCAGCGCACGCTAGCAGCGCTGCACTCGCGGCTGGACGACATGCTCCGCGCCTTCCTCGCGTTTGTCACCTCCGTGCCCGCACTCGACGGGCCAGGGGAGGGCGGACGAGGGGGGGAGGGTAGGAGAGGTGGAGAGAGCGGGGAGAGCGGGCGATGGGGGGAACGAAGTCGAGAGTTTGGGGCGCCTGGGGAAGGCCGGGAGAGTGGAGAGAGTGGGGGGGGAATGGGGTATGGAGGCAGGAGGGAGAGTGACAGTGGGAAGCAGGAGGAGGTGATGGGAGGAGAGGGAAGGGTGGGACACTGCAGAGGGAAGGGAGGGGTGGGGGAAGGTGGGGTAGGAGGAGGGTTGGCATTGGCTGATATAAACACAACGACCCCGTTTCCTTTCAGAAAGGGATCTCACATTCTCTCACCTTCGTCTGTCCACAGGCCAGGAGCCACCAACAGACGGTGCAATGGCGGTGGAGGTGGTGGTGGCGGCAGCGGTGCTGGTGGCTGCAGCGACAGCAGGATGTGCAGTGGTGCTGGTCCCGACCTGAAGTGTGGTGGTGACAGCTTTTCTGGGCGGCTAGAGCCCGCTGCGAGACGATCCTCGCCATCTGTGTCGTGCCGCACTGCGCACATGCCTGCGAGTAGATTGGACTTTGGGAGTGTCGGTGGGGAGAGGGAGAGCGACAGAAGGAAGGATGGTAGCAGAGGTGCTAGTGGTGATGGTGGTGGGGGTTCTGGCGGTGGGGCTAGTGGTGATGGGGGTACTGTCAGTGGATTCAGCTGTGGCAGCAATGAGGGCGGTGCTGCCAGAGAGCTAGACATTTCAATTACAGCGCAAGACATTCCAGAAAATGCTGTCTTGACATCCGCAGGCCAAGGCACTGAACAGTTCCCTCCACCTCCTCCCATCCCTTCAGCGTCTTCCTCTCATCCTCCCCCTTGTGTTCTATCGCCTGTTCCTGAAGCAGAAGTCCCCATCTCCCCTGACTCTGCTCCACCTTCCGCCACCGCTACAGTAGCTAGAACCAAGTCATCACCATCCCCTTCCACGTCATCAGCATTCCCTTCCACATCATCACTCTCCAATGACAGCTCATCCATAGCACCTGCTGCCCACAGCAGGACCCTACATCTGCCCTCCCTCCGTCCCCCTCCCAACTCAGCAGCAGAAGATTCCCTGGAAGAGCCGTTCAATGCACCTGCCCCAGATCTACCTTCCCCAGTAACACCCTCCCCTCGCACTGCCGGCTCACACAGTACCGCCCTGTGGTCGCCCCACACCCCCAGGGACTTCGAATCTTCCCTCAGCTCCTCCCCCCAGGCGGCCCCCCTTTCCCCTCGAGCACCCCCCTCTGCTGAAACCTCTCCCTGTAACAGGTCACTTTCTAATGAATCACCTTCTAAAGCGTCACCCTCCACTCCTCCCTCTAACAGGTTTCCTCCTTGCGAGAGGTTCTTGAGTGCTGTCAAGTCCCACTCTTCCTCCTCCTTTCCTCCGTCTCCTAGCGAGGAGTCGTACTCTCAGCATGTGATGAGGCGGATATCACCTCCCCCAGTCATGCCTCCCTCTGCTGCAGGGCCAGCTTACGGCTATGCCTCTCGCACTGACTGCTCTCCTACCGATGCTGATGCTGATGCTAGTGCTGATGTTGCTGCTGCTGCTGATGCTGGTTCGGCTGCAGAGGGCAATGGCGATAGCGGTGGTGGTGGTGGTGGTGGTGATGGTTGTGGTGGCGGTAGTGGTGTGGGTGGCAGTGTCAGTGCCGGTGGTCGTCGTACTGCTCTCTCCCGCCGGCCCCGTGCCCCTCCTCCTTCCCCAGCTCTCTCTGCCCCGGCCTCCCCCGCCCCTCCCTGCTCTCCTGCTCCTCCCCGCTCCCCTATCCCCCCTCGCTCTCCAATCCCTCCTCGCTCCCCCGCTCCTCCACGCTCCCCCATTCCCCCCCGCTCCCCTGCTCTCCCACGTTCCCCCGGCCAATACCGCCGGTCATCTGCTGGTGCTGCCCTCTCGCCCCGCATCGTGCGCTCTCCTGCTCGCTTCAATCCACGCTCTCCTTCTCTCACAAGCGCCCGCTCGCCCTTCCTTAGTAGAATCTGTGAGAAGACCGCTGCAACAGACGAGGCAGACCGACAAGCAGCAGCTACAGCAGCTGCAGCAGCTGGGGACGCTGCTGGGGACGCTGCTGGGGACGCTGCTGGGGAAGCTGCTGGGAAAGCTATAGCCAAAGCATCAGCACGAGGAGACACAAGCCCAATAGAATTAGGTCCTGCTGCTGCCGTTTCAGCTGCTGGTGTTACTAGTGCTCCCACTAGTGCTGCTGTGAGTGCTGCCAGCTCGCCACCCACCCGCGCCACCTCCCCCATGTCTCTCTCCTCTGCCTTCTCCTCTCCTCCCTCCACCCGCCCCTCGCCCATTATCCGCCCTATCCACCATCGGCAGAGGCAACCACACCTTCCTCTTGCTACCACCACCACTGCCACTAACAATGCCGCTGATACCTCCACCACTAGCGCCACCACTAGCGCCACCACTAGCGCCACCACTAGCGCCACCACTACCACTCTTGCTGATCACGCTCCTGTTCCTTCCACTCATATTGCCACTGATATTGCCACTGATATTGCCACTGATATTGCCATTGATACTGCTACTGATTCTGCTCATGAATCTAGCACAAGCAGCATGCACACTCCTCCCCCTGCCACCCGCACCCATCACCCCATACGCAGCCCTACCTCTCGCTCCACACACAAAACCCCCTCCACCTTCAAAACCTCCTCCACGCTCCAAACCCCCTCCCACAAAACCCCCTCCACCCACAAAACCCATTCCTCCCACAAAACCCCCTCCAACCCCCGTCACGCACCGGCCTCCATCAGCAAATCCGCAGCCAAGGCAGCCGCTTGGAGGGCGTCTCTGGGTGGTTTACCCTCGCGGTTGAGCATGAAGATCCGCGGAGTGAGGAAGTCAGCGCAGGGGGACGAGGAGCTGAGGGAGCAGGTGCAGCGGTGGGACGGCATGATGCGGGAGGAGGCAGGGCAGATTTGCAGGGCGGCTACGGTGCCGTTTGTGACCGGGTTCATGGAGGCGAGTGGTGGAGGGGGCGCACACAGCCTGGTGGATGCTTATGAGTTGAAGGTGAGTGGGGGTTTTTGCAGGGCGAGGGTTTTGTGGGTCAAAGGGGTTGCTTGCATGGCTGCTGAGCATGAAGATCTGCGGGGTGAGGAAGTCAGCGTAGGGGGACGAGGAGCTGAGGGAGCAGGTGCAGCAGTGGGACGGCATGATGCGGGAGGAGGCAGGGCGGATTTGCAGGGCAGCTGCTGTGCCGTTTGTGACCGGGTTCATGGAGGCGAGTGGAGGGGGCGGGGCACACAGCCTGGTTGACGCTTATGAGCTCAAGGTGAGAGTTGCGTGTTGGGGCTTGTCTTGTATGCTCATATGGGGTGCCGTTTGTGACAGGGTTCATGGAGGCGAGTGGAGGGGTTGGTGCTCACAGCCTGGTGGATGCCTATGAGCTCAAGGTGAGAGGTTAGGGCTTGCTGGCAATGCGTGTGCAGTGCACGCTCGTGTGAGGTGCCGTTTGTGAAAGGTTCATTGGGGGGGGGGGGGGGGGGGGGGGGGGGGGGACGCACACAGCCTGGTGGATGCTTATGAGCTCAAGGTGAGAGGTTAGGGCTTGTGGCGCACAGTTAAGAGGCCCTACACCACCTCTCAAAGCGCTGGGAGCTGGTCCAAGACTTCATGGCCACAGAACGGCCCTCCCTCGCTCTTCCTAAGTCGTCGCGCCCACCCTCTTGCCCTTCCACTTCAATCTCTCTCCCAGGTTCGCCTGCATCATCCCTTGGAGCGCTGGGGGCTGGTGCAGGACTCCATGGCGACTGAACGCCCCCCGCTGGTCCTCCCCCATCTCTTTTCCTAGGCGTGCTCCCCGTTTCTCTCTTTCTCCCTTCTACCCCTCCTCCCTCTCCCAGGTTCGCCTGCACCTCCTCTTGGAGCGCTGGGGTCTCGTCCAAGACTCCATGGCGACTGAACGCCCCTTGCTGGTCCTCCCCCACCTGGGCTCCGCCATTGCTGCTCTCTAAATGCTTGCACCGCCTGAACTCATCTTTCCTACACTCCCGTTTCCCCTCTCCTCCCCCGCACAACACCCTTCCATCTTCCCTCCCTAGGTGCGCCTACACCACCTGTTGGAGCGCTGGGGCCTTGTTCAAGACTCCATGGCGACTGAACGCCCCTCGCTCGTCCTCCCACACCTCTACCTCGGGTCTGCCATAGCTGCCCGCTCCTTCCCTCTGCTGCACCACCTGGGCATGCGGCATGTGGTGACGCTCTGTCCCACTGACCTGCTTGACCCTGATGCGGAGCAATCCCCCTCTTCAACTACCTCGTGCTGCCGGTAAGGGCTTGGGGGGACGGGGAAGGGAACGACAGAGGTAAACGAGGGGGGAAGTGGAAGGGGGGATATATTTTCCTTCACTTAATCTCTCATTTCCCCTTGAACCCTTCCCCTCCCTCTGTCGCTTCCTCTCGTCCATTGTTTCTTCTTTCAGTTCCACCTCTATCTCTCCTCTCCCTCCTCTCCTCTCCCTCCTCTCGTCCATTGTTCCTCTCTACAGCTTATGATTTCCTTCCCTTCTCACCCCTCCCGGCACGTCTCAACTTGCTCTCCCCTCCTCGCCCTCCTCTCCACTTTTCTCCACCAATCGCTCCTGTCTGGCCTCAGATGCGCGACTCCGACCGGGAGGATCTGAGCAAGTACATTGACACAACGAGCAGCTTCCTGGATGCCGCCATCAGCAAGGGCGAGGGTGTGCTGGTGCACTGCTATGAGGGCCGCAGCCGATCCGTCTCCATTGTGCTGGCATATCTGATGACCAAGAGGTATGTGCGGGCGAATGGCACGGTGGTTAAGAAGCATTCAGAGAAACGGCGATCACCAGGCTCTCACGAGGGGGGCTGCTGGTGCACTGCTATGAGGGCCGCAGCCGATCCGTGTCCATTGTGCTGGCATATCTGATGACTAAAGGGTATGCTGCACGCTTATCTGATCACATAGTGGTATGTATGTGCGGGGGTTGAGAAGCATCTGCTGGCGTACATGTCGCTCATGCTGGTGCACTGCTATGAAGGCTGCAGTCGATCCGTGTCCATTGTGCTGGCATACCTCGTGACCAAGAGGTATGGTGAGTCAAGAGTGTTTTGATACGTATGAGTCGAACGTTTGGAACGTCCCCGAAACGTTCGTTCGGAACGACCAGTGAGGCTTGCTTCATGCGTTGCAGTATTGAGTGGCAAGATTTCGCTTTTCTCCCTTCCTAACTACTTATGAGGCGCCTCAAATATCGCCTTTTGAGGCGCCTCAGAAATTCATGTGTTGCAGTATTGAGTGGCAGGATTTGTCTTTTCTCCCTCCCAACTACTCCCCTTTGCCATTCCCCCCCTGCACCTTCCCTCCTCTGCCCCCGATCCCCCAGGCACATGCCCCTGGCGGAGGCATGGGTGGTGCTGCACTCCGCCCGTCCCCACGCTACCCCCTTCACCTCCTTGACTGAAAGCTCTTCACTCGTCCCCCCTGTCCCCATTCCCCGTTCCCCCCGTCCCTCAGGCGCATGCCCCTAGCGGAGGCATGGGTGGTGCTGCACTCCGCCCATCCCCACGCCGCCCCCCCAACACCGCCTTCCTCCGCCAGCTCGTCGCCCTTGATAGACAGCTCTTCCACCCCCACCCTCCTCCGCCTCCTCCTCCTCCTCTTCCCTCTCCCACTGCTGCCGTAACTCTGTGTGACACGCCTACGAATACCAGTACTGATGCTCTCACTGCTAACACTTCTACCACTGCTATCACTGCTACTGTCACTGCTGCTGCTGCTCCTGCTGCTGCAGCTGCCGCAACCCCTTCTGCTGCCATTCCTGCAGCACCTAGAACCCCCTACACCGGTGTTGATGCTGCTGCTGCTGCTGCTGCTGCTCCTGATGTTTTCACCCCTCCTGCGACCACCGCAAACGCTCCTCTTGCTCCTACCCCCCGCTCCTCTGGCCCTGCGTCTACTCCTCCAGCATCTGCACCCGTCTCCTCCGCCCCTGTTTCTCCTGCGCCTCTCGCTCTGCCCTGGTGCCCGAGGGGCCGAGTGAACCGGCCGACAGTGCGCGTTTGTGGAGTGTGCGGCAAGGCAGCGGGGCTCAGCAGTGACTCGTTGCGAGCGCACATGAGGAGGATGCACCCTGGGACGCCCCTGCCCCCTCTCACATCTCCTTCTTGAGGGGCCCAGGTGGTGTTATGCATATATGTGCTGGGTGCAGCAAGGCAGCAGGGCTCAGTGGTAGTGACTCACTGAGAGCGCATATGAGGACAGGACGCCATGCGTATGCACCCCAAGACCAGATGACATGTGTATGCACCCCAAGACGGGACGCTTCTTCCCTCGTTGGAACCTGCTAGTAGTTGAGAAGTTGAGAAGCATACGAACCAGTGCGCCCGTGTGCGGCAAGGCAGCAGGGCTCAGCAGTGACTCACTGAGGGTGGGCGCACATGAGGATGCATCCCCTCTCACCTCTTCCATCGTGGAAACTTACTGCCTGAGGTTCCGCAAATGCAGTTAGGGTGTGTACATTGAAGCGCGGCAAAGCAGCGGGAGTTAGCAATGACTCAATAAGCACACATGCATGAGGAGAATGCTTAGAAGACGTAGCCCATGTGTAAATATATCCAGTTGCAGCAACTTGCATGAATCAACAGTTTTTTTTGCTTTCTTCTTTTTTTAAGAAACATACCGGGTACAACAGGAAGCACGGTGACACAGTGAACGATCTGCTGCTTTCAACTGCTATACCCTCCTTGGTGTCACAAGAGCTTCCCACCACAAGCCCACTGAGTCAAACCACGCATCCATCCAACATGCACTGGTGGTTGCTCTGGTGGTTACAGCATGCTTTCATCCTCACCACATCCTCACAGTTACCGTGGTACCTTCTAAGGTGATCACTTTCCCTTATGGTGCTCCTCCTCCCTCGCCTCCCTCGGTGGCACCTATCAGATCACTGGTTTTGCTCAGGCCAAACTTCATCGGAAACAAGGGGGGGTTGGGCCCAGGGGAGTGGTCCGGCTGCAAATCCCTGACCGAACGGAACCACGGGAAGGGTAATTTCCCCTTGAAATCCACCGCCTCGTCAAATAACACATCTGCTACACCGCCTCCTTCGGACCCGGGTAACCACGCAGCTACCAACGCATCTAAATGCGGTAACATGCCCGTAACATTTAGCGGCCGCCCGGAAATCACCACCACAACGCACGGGATCCGCCCGCAAATCCCGAATATTGTCGATCTGGCAGGGCCACTCAATTCCAGCTGCTGATTATCCCCCTTGTACTCGGCATAAGGCGGCTCCCCTACAACTACAATCCCAAGGTCGGCTTCTACACTCCTTGCTCGCTTTGCCCATGCTGCTGCCGCCTCCCGGGTGGCTTCGAGCGGCCTTTTCCTCGTCCCATTCTCGTAACGGTCGTCTTCAGGAGGGTAACCAATATAGGTTAGGCTCGCCGCCCGGGCGGAAATTACCTCTTTAATTCCTTGCCAAATAGTAGTGCCTTTGGTGATAGGACCCTCTTCTCCTTGCCATGAGATAGTCCATCCCCCACACTGCCTCCCAATGTCGTTTGCATGGCTGCCCGCGACAACGATTCTCGCCCCGTCCACGGGCAGCGGAAACATTTTCTTCCTGTCCCGACCCCAGACTGCCGCGTTGTAACTGCTTCCGGTCCCCCCTCTCCTCCACTTATCCTGGAGAAGCACCAGCGAGGCTGCTACAGCTTGTCGGGCAAGTTGGCGGTGCTCCGGGCAGCCGAAAAATGGGAGGAAGCGGGAGGAGAGCGAGGAGGAAGAGGAGGAGAAGAAGGAGGAGGAGTGGCGCGCACACACCAAGTCCTTATCAAACAGACCTAGGGAGTGTTTAAGCGAGAGAACGCGCGACACAGCCTCGTCGATTCGCGACATGGGAACGCGCCCCGAGTTGACTAGAGAGGTGAGGGTGGCGGAGAAATTGGCGAAGTCGTTGGGAACCATGATCATGTCAAGTCCCGAGTTGACCCCCAGGGCAACCTGGGGATGTTTGAGGAGAGAAACGGAGGGAAAGTATAGGAGGGAGAGGAAAGTGTAGAAGGGGAAATGAGCAAAATTGTTGGGAATCTTGATGGTATTGAGACGTGAGTTGGATATCACACCAATCTGGACTTATTAAATGCGAGGGCAAGAGAGATAAGGAGGGAGGAACAACGGCAAGAATAACAACAAACTCATCAATTGTAACAATAATAGCGACAACAATAATAATAACACTAATAATAAATAAATAAATAAGTAAATAAATGAATAAGTAAATAAATAAATAAATACATACATACATACATACAAACCGCTACCTACCTGGTCCTCGTAGCTTCCTGGAAGCTCCTTGAGCGCCTCCCAGTCAGACACCATAAGGCCCACAAAACCGAGCTCCTTGCGCAGCACATCCGTTAGAAGATAGCTGGTGGTGTGGGGGGGAGGGGGGGGGAGATTGCAGGGGTGGAAGGGTGGAGGAGTGGAGGGTGAGGGGGTGGTGAAGCGAGTGGGGGTTGTGAGGCCCTCAAATGCTTCCCAGTCAGACACCATGAGGCCACAAAGCCAAGCTCCTTGCGCAGCACGTCCGTCAAGAGATAGCTGCTTGGGGAAAGGAAGGGGGGTGTTAAAGGGGTGTTGAAGGGGTGGAGAGGGGTGGAGAGGGGTGGAGGTTGCCGCCCAGTCTGACACCATGAGGCCCACGAAGCCGAGCTCCTTGCGAAGCACGTCTGTCAGGAGATAGCTGAAGGAGGGGGGAAAGAAGTCCGTGGCAAGGACGTGAAAAGTCCAGGGTCGAAGGGGTGAAGGGGTGATGCGGCGGCGAGGTGTGATGAGGCGAAGAGGTGTGATGAGGCGGAGAGGTGAAGGGGTGGAAAATCTAGAAAAGGCTGTGTGCAACTCTGATTTTGAGGCGCCTCAAATCTAGAAAAGGCTTTGCGCAACTCTGATTTTGAGGCGCCTCAAATCTAGAAAAGGCTGCACGCAACTCTAGCACGTCCAGAGAGGTGAGCTCGTTCCAGAACTCACCCATTGCCGTGCATCTTGGTGCCATTCCAGCTGCTGTAGCACAGCTGTCACAGTCAGAGTAAGTAACTAGTGCACCTGTTACCAGCTCTAGCTCACCCGTTGCCATGCATCTTGGTGCCATTCCAGTTGCTGTAGCTCGCCGTGATGGTAGACATGCCCTGTAGCGGCTGTAGCACAGCTGTTGCTCACCTGTAGCACACATGCAGTCATGCCCAGCTGTAGCTCACGCACTCACTCACCCGTTGCCGTGCATCTTGATACCATTCCAGCTGCTGTAACTGGCCATGATGGTAGACACACCCTCCGCTACAGCTGCCACGTACGGCAGCAGATGCACCTTCCTCAGCTCCGCCTCCCCCCCTACTGTCTCCCCCCGGTCCACGCCTCCCCTCGTGCCCCCATCCCCCACATAGTGCTTCGCTGTTGGTGCCATGAAGACGCTTCCTGGAAAGTTCCCAGCCTCGGGAGGCACTTTCTGAAGAGTAGAATGGGAGGAATAAAAGAGGACGACGGTAATCCTGTTGGAAAATCGTAATTTTGTGACAATGTTGCACAAATGGCTCTCTAGCTCCAAGGTACTTGCATACTAGAAAGAAAGAAAGAAAGAAAGAAAAGAAAAGAAAAGAAAAGAAAAGAAAAGAAAAGAAAAGAAAAGAAAAGAAGAAAAGAAAGAAGAAGAAGAAAAAAAACCTTTCTATTCCCCATTCCCCCCCTCCCCCCCCCCGCCCCCTTCCCCTCTTCCCAACCAATCATCGTTCTCTCACCATCCATCCGCGTATCTCCGCTATAGCAAGCTCCGTTACAAGTCCCGGGTCTGCTCCGTAGCTCTCGTAGCAGCGACCCCAACGAGGGTCGAGGCAGACAGTCACAGCAGGGGCAAAGGTCCACCGCACCCCCGTTGCTGCCACTTCCTGAAATTGGAGAGGGTCGGTCGATAGGCGGGGATAAGGGGTTGCAGCGCAGGCAAACAGCGTTGGAGAATAGGGGATAGCAGCGGCCCCAGTGCGGGTCGAGGCACACGGTGACGGCAGGGGCAAACGTCCACCGCACTCCCGTTGCTGCCACTTGCTGGAATGAGTGGGGCTTGGAGGAGGAGAGACAAGCAGTTAGAGCTCATGTTTGGAAAGCTCTAAGGCTCTCATAGCAGCGGTCCCAGCGCGGGTCGAGGCAGACGGTGACGGCAGGGGCAAAAGTCCATCGCACCCCTGTTGCTGCCAGCCACTTCCTGCCACGGGTGGGGAGGGGAGCGGGGAGGAGGAGGAAAGGGAGGGTAAGGATAAGGAGGGGTCAGCACTAGTTCCAGCGGGTGTCGAGGCACACTGTGCCGGCAGGGGCGAAGGTCCACCTCACACCTGTTGCTGCCACTTTCTGGCATAAGTGGGGCGGAGGGAGGAGGCATGAAGGGGGATATGGAGAATGAGTGGCAGTAACAGATCAGTTTAGGGCCAAACACGTTGTTGTGGCTCCAAACACGTTGTTGTGCCCGTGCACAGTGAACTGCATCTACTCCGTACAGCATGAGAGCAGAGGAGAGTGGTGCTAGCACAGCAGCAGGTCACAGCCTCAGCTCACCTTAGCAACAGCAGCCGCTATCGCCTCTACCAGGGTTGCGTTCCCAGCCGCCCCCAGCCCCACGTGGTGCGGGAAGATGGTGGCTCCTAAGACGTTGTTGTGCCCGTGCACCGCACTGCATCCACTCCGTACAGAACCGGCACCCGCAGCCACGTGTTGAGCGCTGCAGCTTCGGCCCTAGCCTTCACATCTCAACATACCTTGGCGACAGCAGCAGCGATCTCTTCCACAAGACTCGCGTTCCCAGCAGCTCCCAGCCCCACGTGGTGGGGAAAAATAGTCGCCCCCTCCACATTATTGTGCCCGTGCACCGCGTCCACTCCGTACAGCACAGGCACCCGCAGCCGTGTGTTGAGCGCCTTGGCTTGAAAGTTATCGACCATGTCGGCCCATGCCGTTGGGGTGTTGGGTGCATATTGCGGCCACCCGCCCCCACCACTGGAGGAAGAAACAACAGAGGGAGGGTTGTAAGGGGGGGAAGAGCACACAGGGAACAGCACTCGCAGCCGTGTGTTGAGCGCCTTGGCTTGGAAGTTATCGACCATGTCTGCCCATGCCGTTGGGGTGTTGGGTGCGTACTGCAGCCACCCACCCCCCCCACTGGCGTATGAAACAACACGAGGAACAGCACACGGGGAGGAGGGGAACCAATGAGTGTTGAGCGCCTTTGCTTGGAAGTTATCGACCATGTCGGCCCATGCTGTGGGGGTGTTGGGGGCGTACTGCGGCCACCCACCCCCCCCACTGCATAGGGGGGTAGGGGGAAAGCAAACAGCACGGGGAGGAGGGAGGTACAGCACCCGGGGAAAGGGGGGGGGAGCGGGGGAGTGTTGAGCGCCTTGGCTTGACCTGGGCGTTATCGACCATGTCGGCCCGTGCTGTGGGGGTGTTGGGGTCGAACTGGGGCTGGGGCCACCCGCCGCCTGTTCCAGTGCAAAGCAAGGGTTTGGTTTGGGGGGCGTTTGCGAGGGGGTGAGGGGGCGGGGGGGGGCGAGGAAGTGGGGCGAAACAACGAGGGGAGAAACAACGAGGGGAGAAACAACGAGGGGAGAAACAACGAGGGGAGGAACAACGAGGGGAGGAATAACGAGGGGAGGAACAACGAGGGGAGGAACAACGAGGGGAGGAACAACGAGGGGAGGAACAACGAGGGGAGGAACAACGAGGGGAGGAACAACGAGGGGAGGAACAACGAGGGGAGGAGGGGAGGAACAGCACAGGGAGGAACATCACAGGGAGGAAAGGGCTCGCCTGGGAAGAGGAGGACCCACCTAAGCACTGATCCGATATGGTACACTGCGATTTTGCCTCCCAGCCCAAGAAAAGGGCGCAGTAGGAAAGGGCTTGCTCTGCAGCAAGGGCTCACACGAGAGAAGGACTCACTCACCTGAGAACTGATCCGATATGGTGCACAGTGATTTTGTCTCCGTATCCCAAAGGGTTCACCTAAGTAAGAAGGACTCACTCACCTAAGGACTGATCCGATATGGTACACTGTGATGTTGCCTCCCAGCCCAAGAAAAGGGCGCAGTAGGAAAAGGCTTGCTCTGCAGCAAGGGCTCACACGAGAGAGGGACTCACTCACCTGAGAACTGATCCGATATGGTGCACAGTGATTTTGTCTCCGTATCCCAAAGGGTCCACCTAAGTAAGAAGGACTCACTCACCTAAGGACTGATCCGATATGGTACACTGTTATGTTGCCTCCGTATCCCAGCGCGCGCTCGTCTATCTGCATCATCTGCCCCACCTTCTCCTCCACTGTCATCTCGGAAAGTGATGGTACTGCGGTGTTGTTGGGGGACGGGGGACGGGGGACGGGGGACGGGGGACGGGGGAAGGGGACGGGGCGGGGGGCGGGGGGCGGGGGACGGGGGACGGGGGAAGGGGACGGGGCGGGGGGCGGGGGGCGGGGGACGGGGGAAGGGATGCAAGAGTCATGTACCGACAGCAACAGTCCCAGCGCCCTCTAGACTACCTGAACTGCCTTTTTCCACCATTCGCCACCGTTCCCCACCTTTCCCCACCATCCCCCATCGCTCCCCCACGGTTCCCCTTGCACCTACCTGGGATGTCCTGCGGGACGCATCGCTCCAGTCCCGCCGCCCGTCGCGTCCCTCTGAATCCCAGCCACGCGTCCGCCACGTCGACCACCGCGCACGCCGCCAGAACCAGTGCCGCCACCACCAGCGCCGCGCACGCCGCCAGAGTCCTTAGTCTCCGCTTCCCCTTCCTAAACCCGCCGTCACCGCCACCGCCGCCGCCGTAATACCCGCCGAAGAGCCCCCCAGCAGCAGCGGTTGGCGTAGGAAACGGCTTCGCGTCCGGGCGAAGCAGCGAGGAAGATTCGCCGTGGACGGAGTCGCCTTCGTCGATGTCGCTGCAGCCGTCCTTCCCGCCGCGCGGCTCAGGCCGGACTTGAGATACGTACCTGCCACCCGATACGGGACTAGAACGAAACATGCTTAAGCGGGAAAAAATGCCGCCTGCTACGGGGATGAGGGCTGTGACCGCGGCCGCGGCACCGGCGGCGACGGTGGCGGCGGAGGAAGCGGGATTGGAGAATGCAGGTGGTGGTGACGATGGTGCTTGTTTGAGGTCTGTTTCTTCTAACGAGAAGTCTTGCAGCGAGTTTCGGCTTCCCCTGTCTTCTAGCGAAGATCGACTGCGATTCCGCACCGGAGAAGGGAACGCATTGGCGTACATGAAACCGCAAGTGAATTTGCTGGAAAATACGAAGTCGAGGAAATAATCAAAGAACCAGGCGAGGCGAGACAAAGGCGAGCGCGTACATAGAACGTCACTACGATACTTTATCTTTCCTGCTCGATATGCCGCGATGAAATCTAAACGCATTTAGCGCGAGACGCGCGAGTACGGTCTCGAGGGACAAGCATCCATGCCTAGATTACAAAATCCGCTTTTTGCGGGGGGAGAAGTGCTAAAGCTGGAGGGAAACACCAAGGTAACATGCCCATCGCCTCGGTTCTGTCGCTCTCGAGTTTCTGCATTGGGCAGCAAACAACTGGCGTAAACGCATATTGGACACAAGAATTCAATCAAAAGTTTCAATGACAAATGGACAACACTGGCAAAGTCGGAACGCCGTGTATACAATCCAAACATGACTTTTATGCAACGTGTAGAAAACCTTTTCAAAGCTTCTTATGAAGCCACTATAGTGGAGCTATGAGAACATATTTTAAAATGTAAGTAGACTGGACTACCGTAGGTGTGTTTTGAGTAAGCTATCATTTGCAACAAACTCCTTACCAAAGTTTAGTCTCAAACACGTACAGTCACTTCAGTCACAGTCGCGTTAGCTTCCAAATAGCCTGGCCGCTCTCTCTTAGAATTAGTGCACCCGAATGTATGGAATATGAGGCACTCTATGGAGCGGACATTACCTTGTCAGCACATGTCTGTAAGGTTCCACGTGTACCCCAGCTGTACAGCCTGCTGAACCGGCAAGTGTCCACCTGAAAAAACAAGCTGCCAAAAATATCGGGAAAGTACATGCTAGCTCCATATTTTCAGAATTATCTTAAAATTAGCCCTAAGTTCACTCAAACAGTCTAATCTTGTGCAATTCTGCTCACGCGAGGCCCAAATTATGTTCAAAACTGGTCCTGCGGGGCTCAACTCTCGACACGTGTCCAATTCGCACCAAGAATTTCTCGACGGGGCAAAAAAACGTAATACCCCTAGGGAAACCAGGACACTTTTAGGGAGGGATCAATTCTAAACACGGGAACCCGCCCGGTGTTTAGGGTTGATTCCTCCCGAAATGTGTCCCGTTTCGCCCGCCCGGTGTTTGGGGTATTATGTTTTTTCACCCCGTAAAAAAATATTGGTGCGAAATGGACACGTGTCGAAATTTTGGCCCCACAGACCAGGTTTGAACATAATCTGGGCCTCGCGTGAGCGAAATTCCACAAAGTTTGACTTTTTGGGTAAACTGGGGTGTAAATTTGAGATATTTTTGAAACTAAGGAGCTGGCATGTAATTTCCCAAAAATATCGGATACTGTAAACAGCTTGGTCTCTCGAGTCGCATGATACCCACGCGTCGGCCACGTTGCGGCAACTCGCTGCCCAGCAAACAGGGCGCTGGTGCTGTGGGAATGAATGGGAAAAAACGTAGCCAGCCACCCAGCCCACACTCCACCTAGGAAGTGAGGCGAGTCGCCCACGGCCCGAGAAATAATGCTGGAAATTGGAAATTTGGATTCTGCCAATCTCTCCCTCCCACTCTCCCACACCCCAACCCCCCAACCAGCACCCCTCCCGCCCACCCAGCTCACCCTTTCCTCGCCAGCATCCTTCGTAACATTTGTCTGCTCGTCTGTGCTCTGCTCGCCTTGGCCGACGTTGGCATCGGTTTTGTCAGCGGAATGCTTGCAGCGCAAAACACTGGCCCACTAGGAGGATTTGAATAGCTTCCAGCGGTAACCATCCGGCTACCAAGCACCATAACCCTCGTGTGCTTTCATCATTTTTTATTTTGACGCTTTACACCAACAGACCACTCTTGCGACCTGAGGCGCGCTCGCTTCTTGAAACAGCAAATCTCCATGGATGTCCTTTTGTTCGACAAATCGAGTCGCTAGGACCAAGACGTCGTCAACGCGTTCCTCGTATCACATATCAACGTCGGTGGCTCGACGTATCTGCTCACGAGCCGTACGAAGGGTGTGAATAAAACTCGATTTTCTGGGGTTTTCCTCTCGCGGTTTACCTGTCCACCACTGCATTCGAGTCGGCTCCAAGCTGTCACTGCCTTTGCTAAGACGAATCGCTTTCTTGACGGTGATTCAGCCGACCCAATAACCTTCCGTACCAATAATAGGCGTGATAGAAAATTCTCATCCTCGATTATTGCCTTCAGCAGGACTCATAGTAGTCATCCCTGTTACGCGCTTTCGTAACCCACTACGACGCAGCGCGACATCAACTCGATGACAGCAGCCATGGCGTCGACGATGCAGCCGCGCCGCATGTCACGTTCGACCCACGCTCTTCACAGCGCCATGAACTCCAAACTTCTCGGCCGCCTACCCCCACTCGTCCTAACCCCGCTCGGCCTGAACCCGTCAGCCCTGTTCCCGCTCCTTCTGCTCCTCCTCACCCTTGCCGCGTCACCGCTGCTTCCCGCAGTCGCATCTTTCGGCGTGAGCAACGACCTCGGTATGCCATCGGAGATGGGCGGTGGCAGTTCCCCATTATCCGTGAAATCCGCATCTGCAACCGACGGCTCTGATCGCACGATCGATCTCATGGCGATGACGGCAGCGGCCGGCACGGGGAAATCTTCTGGAACAGGAAAATCAGCCGGCGCAGGGAAGGGTACGGGGACGGGTGCGGGGAAGGATACGGGGACGGGTGCGGGGAAGGGTACGGGAACGGGTGCGGGGAAAGATACGGGTACGGGCGTAGGGAAGGGTACGGGGACTGCAGGGAAGGGTACGGGGACGGGCGTTGGGAAAGGTACAGGGAAAGGCGCCGGGACAGGCGCGGGGAAAGGTACAGGGACAGGCGCCGGGACAGGCGCGGGGAAAGGTACGGGGACAGGCACAGGTTCAGGGACTGGCGCGGGGAAAGGAACCGGGACAGGCGCAGGAAAAGGGACGGGTACGGACGCGGCGAAGGGTACCGGGACCGGCGCGGGGATAGGCGCAGGGAAAGGCACGGGGACAGGCGCAGGGAAAGGCACGGGGACAGGCGCGGGGAAAGGTACGGGGACAGGCGCCGGGAAAGGTACGGGGACTGGTACGGGGAAAGGTACGGGAGGAGGTACGGGGACAGGCACGGGAGGAGGCACGGGGACAGTTGCGGGGGGAGGTACGGGAACGGGAAAGGGAAGCAGTGCAGGCAAGGGGAAGGGGAAAGGGGGGGGAAGCTCAAGGGGCTCCGGATCTGGGTCAGGGAAAGGAAGTACGGGTGGAGGCTCGGGAACTGGTTCGGGAACGGATGCTGGATCTAAATCCGGGAGGTCGTCGGGGGGTGGCGGAGATGTGGTCCGCGGAGGGGGGAGCGGAGCGGGGAGTGGGACGGGGAGCGGAGGAGGAAGCGGAGCGGGGAGTGGGACGGGGAGCGGGGGGAACACTGGTGGACATACGGGAAGCGGGGGGGCGGGAAGTCAGACTGGTAGCGGAGCGTCAGGCGAAGGGACAGGCGGAGGGTCAAGCGGAGCGTCAGGCGGAGGGTCAGGCGGAGGGTCAGGCGGAACGCCGGGCGGAAAGCCAGGGTCTAACCTGACAGTGGAGCAGGAGGCAACTTTGGCAAAAGTGAATGAGGTTCTGGGGTTTCTGTACGAGCGGAAATTCACGGGAGTAGCGACGGGCATCAGAATGAGCGGTGAGTCACATCTCATATAAAGCTTATCGGTATTTGAATAACACTATACTTTCATCGTTCATGTCTAGAACTGTATTTCATAAGCTAAAAACCATGTTGTTCTGTTTGACTGATTCCATCCGCCATTAACACCTGCAATATGTTCCATATTTACAGGTATGAATGAGACCCTGATGAATACCCTCCTCACAAACAACGTTACAATCTTCGCGCCAACCAACGGAGCGTATTTCCGCATGCCCAAGAATACGCGCTTTGGAGGGCTGCAAAGAAAGAAGAGTATTCTCTGGCAGGTGATGGCCTATCACGTGCTGCCACGTCGGCTGGAACTCAACGACATCAAGGCCCTTGGGAATGGATTTCTGGTAAGTTTGAGAAGTTGTGTCCTTGCTCGTTCCGTACATGCACCCACTCCTAAACCTCTCACCTCATCCCCCACTCGAATCCCCGCCTCCTCGCCCCCGTTCACATCCCCAATACACTCAACAGCTCTTTTCATCTCCCTTTGTGTTACAGTTGGAAACACTCGATAAGCTTCCGCTGAAGAAGAATCAAACGGACTACTGGCTGAAGTTATACAGGATGGAGGACACAGAGGGTGCGCGCGTGTTGATTGGCAACATGTACTCGAGCCCATCAATTGTCGTCCATGCGGTCGATACTGTGCTGCTTCCTGCCAGGGTCAGGAACAACGGCACGTGGACTCCCGTGTAATAAAGTCGATGCCGTTGTGGTGAGGGCAACGTTCTTGTGTACAAGGCAACTTTGGCAATGTACCAGTACGCTTCTTTTAAATGGCTTGATGTACCTCCGGGTACCCACTTCAGCTGGTGGATTATGTCACACAGCGGATTCTACGCTGCTGTGAGACAGGTCGGGAACTACAACACGTGGGTAACCCTCCCGTGCCATGCAATAAAGCCGACCTGTGCTGAGGGCAATGCTGTTGTGATGGGGAGGGTGACAGTCTAGTCTTGATGCCATTGTTCTTGTGGAAGGCATTCTTGTATGCAATGAGGTAGGCAGCGCTACGCAATGCTATGCTGTATGATGCCGTCAGATATGCTTTTCCGTGTTTATCTCTTCAGTCATACTGTAGCAGTAAACATGTAAAAAGAAGAAGAAAAAATATCCGAATCTGCATCAGGTGTGTTACACAAGGGGTTGTCATGTCTTACCGTGCTGTGAATGCCTTCTATTTACCAGGCTGTAATCAAGTTGGTACCATAACCGCTACAGGAAGTCCAGACACCTCCTCGTGATTGCGAAGAAACAATTCCGTAGCTTGCATTGCATTTCCACCTGCAGCAGCTTGCTTAGGAAGGAAACCTTACAGTCAACTCCAAAACCTGCTCTAACTTACCCTTGCAACAAGAACAGTCGACTTACCTTTGCTAAAACTTTCTAGGTGCTGCTAGCTGGAACAACCTGCTACTGCTTCACTTGTCCTCCAGAGTCGAGAGACAACGAGGGGCGACCAAACATCAGTGTTTTGAGTCGACTCAAAACATACCGTACAGGAACCTTGGCTAAACCTTTCTGGGTGCTGCTAGCTGGAACAACCTGCTACTGCTTTGCTTGTCCTCCAGAGCCGATGAGGGGGGACGAATTATCAGCGGCCAAGAGGGGCGTTCATGAGGTCTATGGCTTTCTCAGCAAGCTGCAGAGGCACAGGGGGGGAGGGGGGGCAACCGAGGGAGGGGAGATGGGGGGTGAGCGGAAGGGGAAAGGTGACTTTGAGTTGACTCAAGAGTCACATTGAGACATCAGCGGTCAAGAGGGGCGTTCATGAGGTCAATGGCTTTCTCAGCAAGCTGCAGAGACACAGAGGATTACAGTGGGTGGGGGGAGAGGGAGAAGAGGGGAAGTTGATGGGGATGAGCAGAAGAGACACAGAGAGAGGGGAGAGGAGGTGAATGAAAGAGGGGCGTTCATGAGGTCTATGGCTTTCTCAGCAAGCTGCACAGGCACCGGGGACACGGGGGGGTAAGGGGAAGGGGGGGACGCAGAAGAAGAGCCAGAGAGAGCGGAGGGAGAAGGTGAGTCGAAGGAAGAAGATTCTACATAAGTTGACTCCACCCCACCCCATCCCACCCCATCCCACCCCATCCCATCCCATCCCACCCCACCCCACCCCACCTTGGACACGGTCTTGAGCTCTCAGGCCATGGGCTCAATGGCACAGACTATCTAGATGACTCGATTGCCTCAGTCCTCCCATCCCCAGCATCCCGCCCACCCCATCCCTTCCTATCCCACCCCACCCCACCCCACCCCACCCCACCCCATCCCATCCCACCCCACCCTACCTTGGACACGGCCTTGAACTCTCGCGCCATGGGCTCGATGGTACCTTCTATTTGACTCAGAAAGAACCCGCTCTTCATCCCCCTCCCCAGCCTCCCACCCCACCCCACCCCACCCCACCCCACCCCACCCCACCCCACCCCACCCCACCCCACCCCACCCCACCCCACCCCACCCTACCTTGGACACGGTCTTGAGCTCTCGCGCCATGGGCTCAATGGCCTTCCAGGAGAGTGGGCTGTTGACCTCCAGAGGCCACACCTGGAGTGTCAGAGGGGGCGGGGGAAAGAAATGTGAGGAGGAGACGACAAGGAAAGGAAAGGAGGCTGCTGCATGGCTTTCCTGGAAAATGAGTTGTGTCGCCGTCGAATTTCCTTATAAAATAGGACCTATGTAATCCCAGTTATCGATAAGATCTATGTAATCCCAGTTATCGATAAGATCTATGTAATCCCAGTTATCGATACATGTGTTTTCTTCAAGTGGACAAACCTGGAGTAACAACCATCTCCACACACCAGTACGCCCATCTACACTCATCTCCACCCATCTTCACCCTTCCGCACTCATCTGCACCCACCTGCACGCCCATGACAATGACAGGCCGCTTAAGCCCTGGCACCAGGCAGTCCTCCCTTGCAGTCCATCTCTACCCATTGCCATCCAACTTCACCACTCTGCACCCACCTGCACGCCCATGACAATGACAGGCCTCTTAAGCCCCGGCACAAGGCAGTCCTCCCCTGCCGCCTCCACCCCTGCCTCCTGCGCCAACCCCATTCCTATGGGATCCGGGTGCTGGGGATATGGGAAGACGGGTGAAGGGGGGAAGAGGCAGGTTAACAAAAAGGCCGCCTCCACCCCTGCTTCCTGCGCCAACCCCATTCCTATGGGGTCCAGGTGCTGCTAGGGGCCATTGGGGGGAGGGGGGTGGGGGAGGGAGGGGAAAGAAGGGGGGGGAACAGCAGTGACGCAAGTTCAAAACATGGCGCCTCCATCCCTGCCTCCTGCGCTGCCAGCCCTAATCCTATGAAATCCGGGTGCTACCAGGGGATATGGGGGGAAGGCAGGGAACCGGGGGAAAACGGAGGGGAGGCAGGGAACCGGGGGAAAACGGAGGGGAGGCAGGGAACCGGGGGAAAACGGAGGGGAGGCAGGGAACCGGGGGAAAACGGAGGGGAGGCAGGGAACCGGGGGAAAACGGAGGGGAGGCAGGGAACCGGGGGAAAACGGAGGGGAGGCAGGGAACCGGGGGAAAACGGAGGGGAGGCAGGGAACCGGGGGAAAACGGAGGGGAGGCAGGGAACCGGGGGAAAACGGAGGGGAGGCAGGGAACCGGGGGAAAACGGAGGGGAGGCAGGGAACCGGGGGGAGGGCAGGCAGAACGGGAGGTAAGGGGGAAAGAACGACAAAATATAGCAAAAGGAAATTGACGGGAGGAAACTGAACGTGCCGCCTCCTCCCACCCGGCCTCCTGCAAGAAAACTGAAGGAAATTTTCTTTCGTGCACATATGTCGTCCGCTTGGGGCGATCACGGGAAGGGCAGTAAGAGGCCAGTGCGGAAAAGGGAAGAGAAGAGGCGAACAAGCAGTAGTGGGCGGATAAGTAAGTACAGAACCTGCCGCCTCACATTCTGCCTCCTGCACGTCGGCACCAACCCACCCACCCGCAGCACACTCCTATGAGGACCAAATGGCGCAGCCCCACCCACCCACCTGTCAGCCCACCCTCCCCAACCCGCCCACCCACCCGCATGATGCTCATGGCATAGTCAAACTCTGCCCCGCGCCGCACTGTCGCCATTTGTGGCCCTTTGAGACGGCCCAAAGCCCCCCCCCTCCCCACCCCCATCACAGCCCCACGCTCCCTCCCACCCTGCACGAAGCACACCACAGCCCCACCCACCCACCCACCCACCCACCCACCCACCCACCCACCCGCATGATGCTCATGGCATAGTCAAACTCGGGCCCCCGTCGCACTGTCGCCAGCGCCGGCCCGCCAATGAGAGCCACCCCCGTGCCCTTGGCGCGCCAGGGCGCGTCCTTCTTGGGAGGAGCCATGGGGTGCGTGTGTGTGTGTGTGTGTGCTTGACTGCTGCAAAGGCGCAGAAAAAGGAGGGGCAGCGAAGGGAAAGAGAAGGGTTGCCAATGAGAGCCAACCACGTGGCCTTGGCGCGCCATGGCGCACCCAGGGCCCACTAGGGACGTGAATTGCGAGCGGGACGCGAATTGCGCAAGGGACGGGACGGCCGTGGGAAAGGGTTTGGCTGTAATGTCCTCCCCCTCGTTATCTGCTCCCCACCCTGTCATTCCCCACCCTCCCATCGCCAGCTAACCCTAAAGTGGTTACGTACGTACGTACGTACGAGTTTGTTACTTGAGCTCTTCTTGGTCCCGCAATTAATCACGCATTACGAGATTAAACCCATACGAAACTAGAACCAGAAGGCAAGCCTTTAGGCCCCAGTACTAGGGTCTTACTTGGGTGGGCGGACGAACGGAAAACGCGGCAATGCCCTAGAGAATTCTAGAAAACGGATGCACGGAAAAATGCGGAAATCCCGGAGCGCTGAAAATGCGCGACAGCGAGACGAGGTGAGATAGCAAAGGATCAGTACGGTGCTAACCTCAGCAGCAGCAAGGAATTTCCTTATCCACTTCGACTGTCATACCGAGTACAGTACAGACCAAACTGGGCACCCGCCTTACGACCTGTTATAAGCAGTAAAGAAAAGAAGGGAGTGCAAAAAAAAAACAATACACCATGAACAGAGCGGTTTATAAAAATAGAAGAACGCGGTAGGGCAGTCATAGATGCACTAAATGCAGTTCAATGAGGTGGTTAAAGCGACGGTGCACATTTGCCACCCGAAACCCTAAACTCTGGCGAACTGTTACTGCGGAAGAAAAGTGTCTGCACGAAATCCTGGTTTTCGCCAGCCAACACTTTCGCGCTGGCAAGCCTGGTTAAAAAAAAAAAACTTCTGAACCTCCCGCCGGCAAATCTAGACCCTCGTTGTAACGTTCTGGGGGGGCAATCTAAGGTTTGGAATGGCTGGGTAGACGCATTCGGGAAAAAAAAATGTACCGTAAATAACTTCTAAGACACGCTGTCACAACACCCACATGCTTGTGTTCACATTTCTACGGTATGCTATCCTAGGTACTTCACTACAATTATATACTTATCCTATCAAGATGCATTTACATCATCATAGCCTACTCCAAAGCGTTGATGCCATTGTTCTTGACAGGAACAGGGAGCAGCACGGTATCCACCGCATGGACAACAATGGATGGGCTCGAGTACATGTTTCCGATCAGAACTCTCGCACCCCAGGAGACTTCAGACTTGACAATACACAACTGGTTGTTTGTATGATTCTTCTTGAGTGAAGAGCCATAGAGTGTGTCCATCTGCAAACACGGTTGTTGGAAGGTGAAGGACGGATAGTGAAATGGGAGGTGAGTATGTGAAGGATTTGAGGGAAACGAGAAGTGAACGGGTGAAGAGGCAAAGAGACCCAACGAGCAGGGTTTGAGAAGAGAAGGGAGAGGAACTGCATGGAAATATAATAAAAGATCAGAACATACAAGCTGTGGAAAGGCAAGAAAACTTTCCAAGCTTACCAGAAATCCATTTTCAAGGGCCTTGATGTCATTGATATCCATCCGACGTGGCAGTAGGTGAGAAGCCATCACCTGCCAAAGAACTCTCCTTTTCCTTTGCAGTCCTCCAAAGCGCACATTCTTGGGCATGCGGAAGAACGCCCCGTTGGTTGGCGCAAAGATGGTAACGTTGCAAGTAAGCAGTGTATTCATAAGCGTCTCGACAAAACCTATAAATTGAGGAGAAAATTTAAGGACACAAAGATGGAAAGAACAAACAAAGGGATTGCTGATTAGAAGTCAGATATGAAGTTTAAACATGATTACGCGGTAAAATAACATTCTGTAATACGTTTAGGAGGTGTAACTCACCACTTCGGTTAATTCCCATTGCAGCTCCTGTGAATCTCCGCTCGTACAAAAACCCCAAAAGCTTGTTCACTTCAGCCAATTTCGCTTGCTGCTCCATCGTCAGATTTTTACTTCCGCCACCTCCGTTTGATTGCCCTCCGCTCCCCGTTCCGCTCCCCTTTCCGCTTCCCCCCCGCGGATAATTTCCCCGCTCCCGTCAGACTTTCCCGATTCCGACCCCGAACCAGTCCCCGAGCCTCCGCCCGTGCCAGAATCAGCTCCTGTGTCCGCGCCTGTCCCGACCCCCGCTCCAGACCCGGAGCGTGACCCCCCTTTCCCCTTCCCTCTGCCGGGCCGTCCTCCCTTTCCCTTTCCTTTGCCCTTCCATGGACCTGTCAAAAGATCTTTCCATGCACCCGTTCGTATAGCGCTCCATGCGCCTGGTTCCACAATAATGTTATCCGCTGCACCTTTGATGGGAAGAAGGGGCCACGCGAGGGACAGGAGGACAAGGAGGAGCGGGACCAGGGCTGGCAGGGTTAGGCCGCGCAGGGGTTGGGTGCGGTGGAGAGCGGCGTGGGTCGAGCATGATTTGCGGTGGCAGGTCGGAATGACGAGAGAGGGGAATCCCCGCCGCGGATGTCGTTTGGACGCCATCGGAATCATCGCCACCATGGAGCTGATGACGCGTTGCGACTTATTCGTTTACGGACGCCTCTTAAAACGAAGGTCGCACTTGTGACTTTCGTGTGAACACGACCTGGCGACTCTGACCTTTTCGTTTACGGACGCCTCTTATTCGTTTACAGATCTGCTGATTTAACCACACGCCTGATATTCGCATGAGAGCGCGTCGTAAAAACTTCGTCGATGCACTTTGAATGGGATAGCTCGGAGAGGGACTAAAATTGATTGAACACCCTTCATACTGCTCGTGAGCAGAAATATCGAACGACTGAGTTACGTGGGTGCGTTGACTATGTCTGAGACTTCAGGTTGGCAAGAAAGCTGTGAGAAGCAGACAGCAAGAACGCCTTGGCCCAAGGCTTCGTGAAGAAAGGCGTGCTAGGCAGAAGCAACGATATCAAGCGTCGTGAAGCAAACGCGGATTATTGTTTACCACACTTGGCAGCTGGGTGGGGGCACGTGAGAGTCAAAATGCTAGTGGGCCTGTGCGTGACGCTGAAGCACCTCGCCGTCAATCCCCAGAGAAAGCACCCAGGCTGAAGGTTTGCGAGGCTAGCGGGTTTGTTTTTTTGGGTTTTTATTAGTCCGCGGTCTCAAGTTCCCCCACCATCGAAGTTCCCCCACCAGACCGTTTTTTTCAACGCTGATGGGGGTTTTGGTGGGAATGCTCCCACTCTGACCACCGAGCCTCATTTTGGCGAGCGACAGGGGTCGCCGGGTTCGCATGTAAGGTATCCAATCGAAGCGAATTCGCCCCCAATGAAATTCGCGCCACTGCTCGCATACGGATGGTTCGACGACAAATGTCATGCAAATACAAACGGCCAAGCCTGACGGCCGCGCCTGCCCAAAACAATTTCTGCTTGCCCTAAACCGAACACAGTCTCAGGAAGTACACGATGCGCCTCGGTTTTGGCGCCAGCTGAACTTCATTGTGTGTCATCAAACCAACCTTATCGACTTTCCAGCAAGCCAACTTCACCATCCCTCCTCTAATGCTTCCCTATTGGGCAGCGGGCGAAATGAATTTTGAGGTCGATTTGCATGAAGCAGTCGTTTGAGAGTCTGGAGTGTCAAAACAGAGCAAACGTGGCATGTTCGGTGATGTCGCACAATGACGGAAAGAACAGTCATATCGATCGTGGCCGGTTGGAGTCATGGTGGGGAAAAGTCGAACCGCGTGAGGGAACATTCAAATGTGAAATGATGCCACGTCAACAATTGCGAGCCGCGTGGGGAAACTTCTGCTGGTGAGGAACTTGAGAATGGCCCTCAGTTTACGCGGAAGAGGTACTTCCGACCTGCGCTTTCCAGGGACCACCTCCTCTACCTGCACAGAGTTTCCCAGGTTTGGATCGACGCCCAGGCAGAAGACTTCTGCACAGAACTCGGCTCCGCGTTTAACCACGTGTCACTGTGCAGCCCCACTTCTGTACTGCTCCTGCACACAGAAGAACAGTGCACAACCGCTTTGTTCTTTTCGGCCGAGCCCAGCCCACGTTCTGGATGGCTCGGCAGCTCTCTGTTTCGAAATCTGGGGATGTACATTTTCGCGCCCAAACTGAAACACACGCCAGGCCGCCTCTGGAAACTGAGACGACCTCCGTCTAGTCCAGGATTTGACTGTTTCTGTCAAACTTAGTTATAGGCTTGCCAGAACAGAAGCGCGGAGTTGTTATAGGCTGATTAGAGCAGAATAAAAACTTAGCCAGAAAGTAAGGAGTATTGAATCAACGCCTTGTTGTTTTGATTTGTTAATTGTGGTTATAGTTCAGAGCCTTGTTAAACTGGGCGGTTGATCAAATGTTGAACATCAGATGCCACTCGATAAAAAGAGTTATTTCCATGGCACATATAAGCAATTTGTTTTTTGTTCGCAAGAGCATCGTGCAATTACAAATCCATAACCTATTGAGTGCATGCCTTGCTTGATCCAGCGTGGATTTAGAGTCCTGTAGTATTTTCTACAAATACATACATAGGTTGGCGTCTTTTTTCAGCAACTAGAGTATGTGGTTAAAGATTCCATGACGTTTTAGGGCGTGTTCCTACAGCCCCCTATCAGGCACCTCTTATCAGACTTGCCTGGTAAAATGCGCGAAGGGTTTAGGGTTAGCGCGAATTTCAGTGTGATTTTTTCCGAGCTTGATAGGAGGTGGCCTGATAGGGGGCCGTAGGAACACGCCCTTATCTACATATAAAATCTTTACTGTGATAATATTGTCAATGTAGAGAACGAAAATAAATGAACTATGACAGAATTGGGTACAATTACTAACCCTAATTGGGTTGTACTCCATACAAGCTACCCACTACAGCCTACACAACACAATATTCTGACACACCCCCATAGGCAAAGTGGGGGAGTACAAGCAGTCACAGAAGAGCAAAGCAAGCTCAGGGTGGATGACGAAGTCACCACATACTCTGAGCACAAGCAAAAGGCCACAAGGCCAGTTCATATAGAGAGTTATATAAAAGAGAACAAACAGTACAGTGATCACAACCTAGCAAGAGTAAACATGCAGGTATATATAGATCACAGTACAAGCAAAGTCATGTCCGAATGTTATTATCTAGCCTGTAGTGGGGTGCTCTATAGCGAGTACAACCCAGTTAGGGTTTGCTATATGTACCCCAACTGCTGCTAGTGAAACCCCTCCTTTCTTTATTCTTGTTCCTGTCTAGTATTCTAACATGGTATCAGAGCAGGTCGACCCCCTTGGGTCGATCCTGTGGGTGGGCCCGCCACCTAACTGCTTCCGCTGCTCTTCTGCTTATCGCGCGCCTCGGGCGCGCGCCGGCTTCTAGGGTATTTCATCCCGCCGTGCGCTCAGGGCGTACGGCGGTTTTCTGCCCGCTGTGCGCCCCGAGGCGCGCGGCGGTTTCCTGCTCGTCGCGGCGCCCTGGGGACCCGCGCGCCGGCCCCTCCCGTTGCCTCGTCGCGGCGCTTTGGGGGCCCGCGCCCCCCCCCCCCCTCCCGTCGCCTCGTCGCGGCACCTTGGGGGCCCGCGCGTCCCCCCCCTCCCGTCGCCTCGTCGCGGCACCTTGGGGGCCCGCGCGCCGCCCCCTCCCGTCGCCTCGTCGCGGCGCCTTGGGGGCCCGCGCGCGGCCCCTCCTGTCGCCTGTCGAGCCGCCCTCGGGGGCCCGTGCGCGGCCCCCCTCCCGTCACCCGCCGTGGCGCCCTCGGGGGGCCCGCGCCCTGCTTCTTCGTGGCGCCCAGGAAACACCCCGCCGCCTCCCTTTCTCTCCGTGAACTGCCCCTGCTGTTTCCCGCGCTCCTGCCTGCGTTAGGGTTTGGGGGTGGCGGGCATGGGGGTGACCGGTGTGGGTAACCTGCAGCTCCTCCTCCTCCTCCGTCTCCCACTGCTGCAGCTGCCGCTGAGGGGGGTGGGTGTGTGGGAGCCGAGGGTTTAGGGTTTAAGGGGGGTGACGTGGGAGTGGAGCTAGGGGTGCAGCAGGGGGTGTGTGGAAAGGAGGTGGGACTGTTTTGGGAGGTTGAGTGGAGGTAGCAGTCTTGTCGTCCGCAGCGCCTGTAGTCCGGGGCCCTTGCCGCTGGTAGCCCAGAGAGCCTGCTGCGCCTGTCGCCCGTGGGTCCGTTGCTCCTGCCGCTCGTCTTAGCCGCGGAGCCTGTTACTCCTGTAGTCCGGGGCCCTTGCCACCGGTAGCCACTGTGCGCGCCGCTCCTGTTGCCCGTGTGTCTGCAGCTTCAGCCGTCGCCTCCCATCTTCTCTCCTCTCACAGTTCCTCCTCCTCCTCACTTGCCCTCGGTGATCGCCTCTAGCTTTGCTTATAATTGTGAACTATTACTATGTCTGCTCATTGTGCTGATTACACCCCACTTTGGCTATGGGGGTGTGTCAGAATGTTATTATCTAGCCTGTAGTGGGGTGCTCTATAGCGAGTACAACCCAGTTAGGGTTTGCTATATGTACCCCAACTGCTGCTAGTGAAACCCCTCCTTTCTTCATTCTTGTTCCTGCCTAGTATTCTAACAAGTCACGCAGTGAGCAAGTGAGACAAAGCAGGCACAAGGCCTAGAGCAGTACAGAAAC